CAGATGTGGAGCTCAAGTGGGTCAAATTTTATGAGCAATACAACATTTTCTCTAAATGTCATCCATTCCTTTGCAGACACACATGGATTCTACACCAAAAATGCCAACCAGCTTTTGTAACCTAATTTTGTAAATACTAATGATTTTGGCTTGTACTTTCAGGAAATTGAAGTCCATTCATTTAAACACAAAATAAAGTAGTTGTCATTGATCAAATCATTATACATGTAACTTATTTCAAAAATTATGTTACAAAAGGTGGGTGTCATTTTTGTGTAAGATCCAATTGTGCCAGCAAAGGAATAGATGACACCTTTTGTAACGCTTATAAATGTGCATCTCGGTTAGCTAGTCATCTGAAACTTCTTGTCGAGTTCAGGCCTGTCAACTGTCCCACAATTTGCGTATTTGTCACGCATTTGCTGACGAATTTGAAGTCACGCCAGTTTTTTTTGCATGACAGAAAATGTCACGCAAATACATATTTACTCGGTAATTGTAAGAGGAGGGAAAGCCCCAGAGTTTAAAGATGACAGACATAATTACCTCTCTTGCTTACCATCTTTGTTCGTTCGAATTTTCATTGGCTAGTTATCAAATGTTACAGTTTGATGGGATGTTTTAATTGACATAGGCATATTCCGTACACCTTTCCTTATCTTGATGTGAAATGAGAAGCTATGATATTGGTTAACACGCCAGAAATGAACATAATATTATTCGAAGCGTATTTCGAAAATTCTGAAACCGTCATTGATGACGTCATTTGCAGGCCTGTCAACTGTCCCGCAATTTGCGTATTTGTCACGCATTTGCTGAAAAATTTGAAGTCACGCCATTTTTTTTTGCGTGACAGAAAATGTCACGCAAATACGCATTTTACCTGGTAATTGTCACGCAAAAATATTTCTGTAGAATTTTTTTCGAAATATGTTTATGATACGGTAAAAATACGAACGTCGGAAAAAAAAACGAACGCAATTTGTTCGGATTTGTCACGCGAATCCCGTATATGTCACGCATGTTCATTGGAAATTTTCGTACCTACCCCCCCCCCCCCCCCCCCCCCCCCCCCCCCCCGTTGACGATATAGCGAGCGTAGCGAGCGCGAAAAATTTGAGGTGATCAAAGTTTGGCAAAGGTGCTCAAAGGTGTTTAAAAGTTGGCCAAAGGTGTTCAAAATTTGGACAAAAGTGTTCAGATTTGGACTTAGGTGTCCAACATTTTGAAGTCACTCATATTAGGTGGTCCCAAGTTGACAGCCCTGCATTTGTTTGTCGACTTTTGACTAATCAGGGACGATGTCTTCTCAATACAGATTTACATTATAAGCATATGTCATCTTTGAACCCTGGTGTTTCTCCCCCTCTGGGTAATTGTCAAGCAAAAGTATTTCTGAAAAAAAATTTCTAAAAAAGTTCGCCGATACAGCAAAAGTACGAATGTCGAAAAAAATCGTACGCATTCCGTTTGGACTTTTCACGCGAATCACGTATATGTCACGCATTCTGTTCAAAATTCTTCGTACCTACCCCCCTTGATTTAATGTACTAAAAACAAGTCGGAATTTTTGAGACAAAAAAAGTTATGAAACATTATATGGGTGGGTGTCATTTTTGGCTCACACAGTGAGCCTATGGGATCGACCAGGCGTCTGTCCGTCCATCCATTGGTCCGTCCGTCCATTGGTCCGTCCGTCCGTCCATCCATCCATCAGTCAACATTAGCCGCACAAATTAAAACTGCTATTCGGATTGAGTCACATGCACTTTCATTTTATGCATATCCATAATGCCTATTTGACCTATCATCGCCATTTCCCAAGTTCGCCCGGTTTCCGAGAAATTGCTGATTTTGACGTCAAAAAGTCAAATTTTCTGTAAATACTAGACACTTTGTTGAAGTAGAACTTTCAAATAACTTGTAGTAGTTGCTGTATATGCAACCTATATCCTTTGAAGATTTCAAAGCTCTTGGAATTGCAGTTTTTGGTGTTTACTCTATTAAATTTGACAAAAAGTAGGACTTCATCATTTTCAGGAACTTTCTCATGTATAAAGTCAAAGGCAGGTTTTGTGATTGACAAGTTTCTCAAAGTTTGCCTTATACTTGATCATTTCTTGCAATGAATTACATCATTACTAGATTTAAGCATTCCCTACATATTGCTCAATATATGTCAGCATCAAATTTTTACAGTTTTTGAGATATTTGACGTCAAAAAACAGTAAAAATAAGTTATTTTTCAACTTGCTTCAATTTGAACAAAATTTTTTTTGAAAATCATCTACAAGTTGCCAGGAGTTCAAATCTAGTTTTTGGATTTGACCTTTATTTGACCTTCAGTGACCTTCAAAAGGTCAAAAAAGTTGATTTTTCAAATTGATTTTTGGATGTACATTTTGGTCAGCTTAATCACAAAAGACCTTACTGAGCTCTGAATAAATAAAATTTTCAAGGTCAAAGGTCATCAAACTAGGTCACACAACTGTGCTATCTAAGTTTCTCAAACAGTACTGTCAACCCCCAAAGATTTTCTCGCGGGACAGATTTTTTAGACCCAGTGGCAAAAATTCGCGGGATTTTGCGGGACATCGCCTAAATTCGCGGGATTTTGCGGGACATTTAAGGAATTTGCGTGATTGCGCTATTAGGTCGAATTTCGATCAAATTCGCGGGATTTCGCGGGACCATTCGAGGGACAAACACGCTAATTGCGGGACAGTTAACAGGGTAACCACCAGGGACTTCATAGAGGGGCAAATTTTTTTAGACAAAGTGCCCTAAATTTGCAGGATTGGCGAAACATCCACCTAAATTTGTGGGATGTCGCAGGACATTCAAGGGATTTGCGTGATTGGGGCTTAATGTAAAAGTACTCAAATCAAACTTTCAGATACTGATTTATCAAATATGATGCACTTAACTTAAGTAAACGTCAACACAATTCCACACATTACGCATAGAAATATTATTAGGCTAAAGGGGCAACAAGGCCTGTAGAGAGAAAAATCAAATTCTTTTACTTTTTCATAGCTATCAAGGCAACATTTGGCTTAACATCTTCTTTGACATACCTATTTTCTTAAAATGTATGGATAAACTATCAATTTCAGCATTAAGAAGTGTAAATTCAGTTCGAAGCTTCTATAAAGGGAGTCTCACTTATAAATTTTTAAGATGCACCATTTTGAGAAATATCGGCTGAAATAGTGTTCATCAAGGGGGTTTCTTCGGAAATAATAAAAGTATATGTTAGTCTTGAAGAAATAGCCAAACTTAAATATATTTTGACACTGTTCCATGATCGTTGAATGGCCCCTCTGCACTCATTGTTGCACCTTTAAACTATCAAGAAACCACACTTGTGAGTACCGTAATCCAACACGAAATTCAAATATCCTGAACAATACTTTGCACGGCGTTCGTGACAAACTATGAAACATTTACCCCCCATTGTGTTATATATTAAAATGTACCTTTTCATATAGGGTTCCGATAGGGGTCAACCCAATTCTCCGAATCCGAGCAGTTTTCCGAAACCCAGTTGTCCGAAACCCAGTTGTTCGAAAATAAGGGGATCTTATCTTAAAAATACAATTTCTTTAAGCGAATCTTGTCACAACCTCTGCGAGTCACGACAACATAACGTTGGAATCACGTTGACATCATTGCAAAATTAGGCTAAATATTAAAGTCAATACGTTAATTGTTTAATGTTTAGCCTACGAAAGTCCATGGGTAACTTGAGAACTACAAAATACAACCAAATACTTTTCGAACGTACATTATATAGCAATATTTCTCACCTAACGTCTTCATAGTATTAGGAACGTATTTTAAACGCATGATAGCGAAATATATCAAGATACTACACGTATATCTGCCTAATGTAGTTATGTAGTGTTCACAAAGTTTTGAAACATATTTTATCTAGATCCTTCAGAAATTAACTTTACTAGTTCTAGTATCTTGCATGACTCGTTCATTAAATTCTTTAATTCTACCTCGTTCCCAATACGTCCTCAGACAGACAAGAAATTGAAGTCTACCCGTTTGTTTGCGTGACAGAATATGCCACGCAAAATACTTATACGCACTTTCTCTGATTATTGTCAAGCAAATACATTTTAGGAGAAGAAAATAAAAAACAAATGCCGGAAACGAATGCCGAAAAATAAATCCCAAGTGATTAAGTTTAGAATGTTTTGTTCTTTTACGATTTGATAAGAGACAGAGACTAAGAAATTAAATGCGACGAAATATTTTGACAACGTAATATGTATACTGTTTTATTTTTAAAGTTCTATGCGTTAACTTATTTTATCTGTTTCAAAATGTTTCATTTTATTTTGCCTATAAAAAGAGATTGAAGAAGTTAAGATAAACTGTTCCGTAATATATATTGTGTTTCAATGACCGTTTTTAGGATCACATAAATCCCCTGTTCCTGCCATTCTAGTAGCACCATGTAATGGGTGCAATCCTAAGTGAGAGAGAGAGAGAGAGAGAGAGAGAGAGAGATCTATAAACATCAGAATGCGTCCATCCCATTAATTTGGCCAAATACATGGCATGAAACTGGCGTAAGCTTAACTTGGTACATGTACGTCCCCCTTTCTCTGGTAAATTATGCCTATATTTTTCGGAGTAATGGGTTTCGGACAACTGGGGTGTACCCTTTACTGTAGCTTCTTACACTGTATATCACAAGATAATCACAATTATTTAGCCTCGGGGATTGTTACAATTTTGAAAATTCGCGGAGGTCAAAGCCGACATTTGCGGGACTTCGCGGGATATTGCGGGACACGCGAATTAGCCAAATTTTGATCAAATTCGCGGGATAATCCCGCCATTCGCGGGACACTTGACAGCTCTGCTCAAAGTTTGACACTACAAATCCAAATCAACATTCTTGTTTAAAAGTCAGGATGTACATTCCTCTGAAGGTTCCAAACTGTGTGAGCACAGGACCGTGGGTCCTATTTTTTGTGTTACAAGGATTTTACATGTTTTTATTAACCTTTAAGATTGCATGCTTCTAAACAGTGGTAAAGTCTTGCTTCCGCCCCTTGTAACCCCCAACTCCCATCCTCAAGGGAAAATAGATAAGAATATGGCTCCAGAGATTCCATTCTCTCATATTCTACCATTACAGGTACCAGGACTGTTTTCCAATCAAGAGTTTGACCGCCGTATTTCAAATGTTCGTCAGCATATGTTGCAAGAGAACATTGAAGCGTGTGTGTTCACATCTTACCATAACATTAACTACCTCTCTGGCTTCCTCTACTGCAAGTTTGGACGTGACTATGGTCTCGTTGTAACACAGGATGACTGTACAGTACTCTCCGCTGGTATTGATGCTGGTCAGCCATGGCGTCGTTCAAGTGCAAGTTGCGATAGCCTCACATATACAGACTGGCAAAGGGATAATTTCTTTTATGCTGTGGTATCAAAACTTCCAGGCATCAAGGGTCGTGTTGGGTTAGAATTCGACGACGTTACTTTGGATAATTTCAAGAAATTCCAAACCGCATTGCCTAACTGTGAGCTGAAGGATGTTGGGATGCCATGTATGCAAATGAGAATGATCAAATCTGAAGAAGAAATCAATGTGATTCGTGAGGCAGCTAGGATTGCTGATATAGGTGGGGCTGCAGTAGTTGATGCAATTGATGTTGGTGTGCCTGAGTATGAAGTGGCTAATGCTGGCACAACTGCGATGATCCGTGAAATTTCAAACTCATTCCCAAATGTGGATCTCCTGGATAGTAAGTCTATATTATTAACATATTTCGCTTTGTTGTGCAAACCTAGCTAGACCTGGTAATTGCCATGGCCTTACATTATAATTACAATTCATTAATTAATTATCCCATCGACTGAAGTCCGGAGGGATATAGGGAACGCCTCCGTCCATACATCTGTCCATTCAAGCAATAACTCAAATACCGTTGGCCCGATTTTGGTCATATTTTGTACACATATACCTTATGGGGGTAGAAGTTCTGCTCAAAAGCCAATTTTCAAAATCGCTGCTCATTTAAAAATGGTGGCCATTTTAGTGCTGATTTAACAGTAATTTAGGTACAACGTAAAACTGTAATAGCAATATGTTATAAATAAAAAAAATTATATAGGACATTAATAAAGCTAAAAATGTAGACATTAAAGAAGCACATGGCAGCCCTTTTGAAAAATTGCGGCCTTTACTCTTTATTTTAACGCATTTTACAATAACTTGAAAAGTAGTGGAGCGATTTTGTTCATATATGGTTTGTGAATGCTATAAGCATGGAATACTGTGTAATGTCTAACGATTTTGTTCATATTTGGTATGTGAATACTATAAGCATGGCACACTGTCTAATGACACTTTTGGTAGAAGGCAGCCATTTTAACATATTTTACTACAACTCGAAAAGTAGTGGAGCGATTTTATTTGTTCATATTTAGTATGTGATTATAAGCATGGCACACTGTCTAATGACACTTTTGGTAGAAGGCGGCCATTTTTCAAAATGGCTGCCATTTTTGCTATATACTTTGTTTGTAAAAATGCCAGCCATGGCTGTTCGATGGGATTTGCTACGCTTTGGCGTTGAGAATATTTAAAAAATAAAGAATTTCTGGAACCTTTTTTACAAACTTTCATTGATTTCATTGATAACTTCTGTTATATGTTATGTAATTATTTTACAGCTTGGGTATGGTTCCCATCTGGTATTAACACAGATGGCGGTCACAATCCTCCTACGCCACGAAGGTTGCAAAATGGTGACATTTTAAGTCTCAACTGCTTCCCAATGATACAAGGGTAAGATCAGAGTTTAATATGATATTCTGTGAAGAATTGAGATTAAATATGGATGGATGGGTGGGTTGTGCCAGGTGCCTGATTGTGCTAAAACACAATATGAATATTCCTAACCAGTAGCAACTTTTGTACAGGAAGTAAAAAATTCAGGCCCCCCCCCCCTCCCACCCTTTTGTCATATTATACATAAATGTGTAGTTGCATCAGTAGTTCCACAAGTTAATTGATGTTTTCTGCTTTATAAATAGGGATCATACTGTGTTGACATAATGTCATGTGTTGTGAGTTTTATTTGTTAATATGTGTGTGTTTAAAGAAATAAAGTTATGATCTCTTAGACCCAAACACTGGTGTTAATAGTTATTATAGGAAGAAAGGATTTAATACCTATTTAGCACTGGCACTGGCTTAAAACCTTAAATTTTTTTATTCACAATCACTGTTCCACAACTAGTTAATTTAATCTAATGTTGCAGATTATGATTTGGCACAAAGTTCGACAATAGGGCTCTTATAGTCTAGCTTTGAAAAATGCATTCGTTTTGGAAAGGATTTTTAAATCAAGTCAAGATATATTTTATTTATTCTTGGTACTGGATGTACATAAAATGGATGGACAAAATGGATGGAGGGGGGATTAGGCGATTTCTGCAAGAAAACTCATTGTTGATGATGCACCTTTTTTAATAGATCTCATATCTTAGAAGGGTATCAGTTCAAAAGAAATACTAGATGACCTAACATATTTTGCCATGCACTGCGCCTATTCATTTGGCAATTCAGTTGTAAATTTTCTCTTGAAAAAATAAATCTTCAAATTTGATGAGTTTTCTTGCAGAAATCGCCTAATCCCCCTCCATCCAATTTGTACAATCACCGGGCGTGTATGAAACTCAAATTCAAATTTATAAACCAAAGGCACTTTTTAAGCTAGACTATAGTTTCTTTATGTGTCAAATTATAATCTGCAATTTGACATATAATATAAGTAATAAGAAGGTTTCAATTGAGAAAACAAAAAACTTGTATCCAGGAAGTTCATCTGTTTTGTTAGATTGATTGTTTTTAGCTGTGGAACAGTGACAATGTATTGCAAAAAATCAATTAACACAAACCTTCATTTCTTTATTTCTCAAAGTTTGAAAAAAATTATGCTGTAGAAAATAATTAATTAGTTGCCTTTGAAAATTAAAAATTGTGCAAATCGCTTATTCAGTTTGTTTTGGTTACAAATTCAAGCTTTGATATTTTCAGAAAAGAAAAAGGTTTATATCCAAGTCATGATTATCAATTGAAAATGTGTAAGGGTTTTAGAATGAGAGCATGGACTTCTAATCAAGAAGATGTCCATGATGAGGGTAACAGCAGTATACTGTATATGATTGATGAATCATGTTTCAACCATCTAAATCATTTCAATTGTTTCATCGCTAGCATCATTTAGGCCATTTCAATGTATTTGTCACTTGATTCAATAGTTTCAATGGTGTTACACAAGATACCTTCGTTAATCCCAGAATCAAAACAATGTTGATGTTTTCCTAATATTTCTGCATTTTTATTCAATCCAATGTTCAACTCACTTTACAGATATTATGCTGCCTTGGAACGAACTATGTTTTTGAACCATGCCAATGAACGCAATCTTGAACTTTGGGACCTTAATGTCAAAGTGCATGAGAGAGGATTAGAACTGTTGAAACCAGGGGCAAAATGTTGCGATATCGCCAAGGAACTAAATGAGATTTACAGAGAAGCAGACATGTTGCAGTATCGTAGTTTTGGTTATGGCCACTCGTTTGGTGTTATTTGTCACTACTATGGCCGGGAAGCAGGTAATATACATACCATATGTTAATATTAATTCAATGATAGCAGGCATGCATCATCACTGACCAATCAGAATTCAGTATCATAAACCACGGTTATCTGAAATGATAATGCATGATTTAGTGCCCAAGTAACAGTTCCCAGAATGCAATACTGACATTGTAAAATTGTAAAACTTCTTTCCTTACTCAGAAAAATCTCTACTCACATTTCATTTGATTGGATGATTTAATGTAGGGCTTTCATGCAAAATAAATTAATAATTCTTATTTCCTCTTTCAGCCCTAGAACTGAGAGAAGACATCGAAACAGTATTGGAGCCTAATATGGTCGTATCCATGGAGCCGATGATCTCACTTCCTGAAAGTGACCCAGGTGCAGGTGGATATCGGGAACATGATATCCTTGTGATAACTGAATCAGGTGCGGACAATATCACCAAGTATCCCTATGGACCTGAACACAATATAATTCGCACAAATTAATCAGTGTTTTACAGACATCATCAGGGGCGTAGCAAGCAAATGTCAGAATGGTGAGAATTTTTGAGTTTGCATTACTATGAACGAAGTGAGTCCCAAAAAGGGGGTACGGCGGAAATTTACATTGTGTACATGTATGGTGCATTCTATTCAGCATTTCAAACTTTGATTTTTAATGTTTCTTCAACTTACAAAATCGCTTTTTTCTTTTTTGTTGAGGTGGAGGGTGCGATTTTATGTAATTTATTATTAAAACCAATTCCAAAAACTTTTAAAAACAATATATTCATGTAGATGGTCAATATTTTGTATTTGTATTAATTGTAATAATTCTATATTTTATTCTAATATATATGGAAAAAATAGAAAATATTTATTAGGCCTACCGTTAAATTAATGGCAGATTGTTAAATGTATAGGGCAGATATTTTTTATGAAGTGGTTTATATATTGATGGTAGATTTTCTTAGTAGTAATATTAATTGTAGTCTTAAAGGGTTCCGATAAGCATCCCGTATAAAAACAATATGGCGGCTCCAGGCGAATTGACTGGATCAGTCCATTTTTAAAAAATAAGGGGAGTTCTGTAAAATCCAGTTTATTGAAATTGTCTTTGAGATAAAGTAATCCGTTTATAATGATTTTGAAAACATTATCCATAGAGTGATTGCATTCAAAGAATATGTACAACAGCCAATATAAATCCTTGTATTAGAACTGCTTTGTTTCATTTGTAGGATATTTCATATACCAAGCTTTGTGCTATTACTTTATGGGGAAATTTAGATGTCAATTTTTCCTTATTATACACGAATAGAAGATCCTGAAACTTCACCCATAAATGTGGAATTGATTTGTCAAAATAAAAATCACCGTTTTATAAATATGTGACGATCTATAATATACTTATGCTATATAACAGTTAGAGGTGTTGACACAACGAGCTCGAGCCTGTGAACCCTTGAGTATTATTCCGGGATCGGGCCTTTTATACTAAACGGTGAGCAACACCAGAAACGAGCGTTCGATTTGCTAAACGATATGCGTCACCCTTTAAGTGAAGCTGAGAAGCAGTTATAAATATTATTATGTACTATTGCTGTATATTATCTGATCCACATGGAGGTTTAATAAAGAAATTTAATTTAATTTTAGTCTTTTACGATTTAATGATGAATTTTGAATTCTGATGTTGTAGACTATGTAGTGTAATAGACCTTTCCAATAAATCCTGATTAACTTATGATATCATTCTTTGCAGGCAGTAATGTTTGTCAACAAAATTTAATTTTTTTTTGAAAATTAGCAATATGTTCATTCCATTTATGCACTGACACTGTAAGAATGACATCATAACCAATAGGTGTCATGATTTACTGGATTGCTTTATTATCCCAACAAACAAATTTCGGAGGGATATAGAGAATGGCTCCATCTGTACATCCGCACGTCCATCTGTCTGGGCAATAACTTAAATACTGTTGACCCAATACATTTATCATGTATTTTATATGTATACGCCCCATTTGAGGGGGGGGTGTATAGAGATATTGTATATCGTATAAGAGGCTGAAAATTTATTGTATATTGTATAAGAGGGGGCAAAATTTATCGTATATGGTATAAGAGGTGTAAAAAATATGGTATATGGTATTTTAGAAAATATGGTATATGGTATCTAGAATTAAAGAAGGCTAATTATGAAGAAATTGTACCCTAAAGTTCCCCCATTGTGCCAACTCTCTTACTGTAACCGTGTTGGAAAAACATGGAAAAGTAGTCTCTATAATTGTTTTCAAATTCCAGGTCAATCGATACTGTTAGTTTAGAGAAAATCCCTCTCAAACTAAGAGTTTTGTGCCCTTTTCATTCAAATTTTCAGAGGAGGTGTTAAATACAGTCTCAAATAAGAATTACGCCCGGTGATCAGAAGAAATGAACGGAGGGGGGAGTAGATCTAGCTGATTTTCGGTAGAAAATTCAACAAATCTTGAAGATTTATTTTTTCAAGAGAAAGTTTACAATTGAATGGCTAAATGAATAGACGCAGTGGACGGGGGAATATGTTAGGTCTTTTTGGATTTTTTTTAACTGTGGAGTTCTAAAATAAAAGATCTATTAAAAAAGTGCAGCGTCGCCAACATGCAAATACCAATGTTTTTGCTATAAATCAACCAACAGGGGTCTCCACGACCTGTAATAAATACTTGTAAGTGAAGTAATTATCACAAAACTATTGGGTTTTGTAAAACATGTTACCATACGTTATATAAAAAGTAATCGAAAATTATTAAAATTGAATGGAGGGGGGGGAGTAATTTGTCTATAAGACATATGGAAACTTCCAATAAATCCATTTGTCCCCATTTTTCACTTTTCAGAGTTGTAACATCAAGTTACTGAGTAAGTGAGTTCATTTTTCAAGTACATGAATTTGTGGAAATTTCTTCCACCTTAAAGACATTTTACTCCCCCCCCCCTCCGTTCACTCCCCCCCTTCGATTATTTTTTATCTATCATTTGGAAAATTATTTAAAAAAACCGGCAATGAATTTTGTGATTTAAAAATGTGACTTATATATTTATTACATGTCGTGCAGACCATTGTTGCTTGATTTATAGCAAAAACATTGGCATTTGCACGTTGGCGACGCTGCGCCTTTTTTAATAGACCTTTTATCTTAGAACTCCATCAGTTCAAAAAAAATCCAAGAAGACCTAACATATTTCCCTGTGCACTGCACCTATTCATGTAGCCATTCAATTGTAAACTTTTGCTTGAAAAAATAAATCTTCAACATTTGTTGAATTTACCGAAAATCAGCTACTCCCCCTCCGTTCATTTCATCAGATCACCGGGCGTGAGACTGCCAAATGTCATTGACCATCTTAACTTTGATGAAAAACATGGTCACTATGGCTACTCGTGTTTCGGGGTATGTGGGATAAATCATGAAAATATTTGAGTATAAAGTGTTCATACAGCGCATGTTTTAATACAAGCATCACAATGCTAATATAGCATAATATAGCAAAAGGTGTTTATTTGGTCTTCAAACCGTCATGTGTTGGATTTCGGCTATCTATTGGGGATTTGAACAGGTGCATATGTTAGGCCAATGCATTAACTCCAGATCAAGCACTCATACAGGTAATAAAATAATTTGAACTTTGAGACAGGGAAGGTTTTTCTGAAATGTTGTCCTAATTTTCAGCCCTTTCCACATATGTTTTTTTAATGTTTGATGCACCAATATGTATGTATGTTGCACTTTGAGACACAGTTAACCTCTAAAATATGATTTATTTGGGATAAAGTGGAAAACAGTACATGTATTTCCCATGTTATTTTCCCATAGGGAAAACTCATGTGATCCATTGTTTTCAGCTTAATTTTGGTCATCCAAAATTGATATCTTTAAAACCCCTGCATGAATCATATTTTCATTTAAAACGCAACAGAGTGATCGATGCAACAAACATTGAAAAACAGGTGTGGAAAGGGCTGTAAATCAGGACAACATTACAGAAAAACATGTTGATGGGGTGTTTGCACCTTCCCTGTCTTAAAGTCCAAATTATTTTATAATCTCTATGACTGCTTGTCCTGGAGTTAATGCATTGGCCTAACATATGCACCTGTTCAAATCCTCAGAAAATAGCCAAAATCCAATATATGACTGAAATCTGTTGCGATACCGTCCGTGGTTCTTTAAAAGAAAGTTATTTCTAGTTACATAGAGTAGTTTTCATTCTCATCAATACATCTTTGCCTTGAAATCATTTGTGAAACATGTGGTTTGACCTTCATGGAAATTTGCTTAATTTTGACACACCTTTGTTTAACTTATACTGTCTTAAAGGCTGCCTTATCTGAAACCCCGAAGTGTCTCATGTTTCAAATGTTTAAACAATCAAGTCTCATCTTGCCTTTATTTCAAACTCTGTTTCCAGACTCGAGTCCAATCAAAAATGAATTATCTACATGGAAGTTTGTGAAGTCCTTTATTTCTGAAACTGTTTTAAATACTTAATATTTTCCAGGTAACTGCTTTACAAAATTATTGTGCATTGTGAATCTTCATTATCTATCTGATAAATATTTTCCTCAGCAAACTTTATTTTCATAGAACACATGATGAATCTTTTATTCAACATTCTCAATTTTGCATCAATTATGTTTCAAGAATTTTTTTCCCTGGCTCACTATGAAGGACATTTAAATAAGTCATGGGAAAGTAGGTCATAAGAAAGAGGAGCACTGGGTTCCACCCATTCCAATGATGCAGGTTTTGTGCTAATTTTGAATATCTTTATGGTACTTTTACAGGTAATGGGCTAATGGCTTTAGCAAATTGCAGCAATGTCATAGTTAGTTTTTTTGGTCAAAGTAGGTTGCTAAAGCACTAAAGAGAAGTCATGAATCTTATATCATAAATGCGTTTTAAATCAACTTGTTTACCTGAAAATAAAATGTGGTCACAGCTTTTCTGATGCTGATGTACCAGAATGGTGTCTAATTCATAATGAAATAAATGAACTCATTGTGGTATGTATGTGGAGTCTAGTTGCCTTATAATAATACATTTACTTTAGTACATGGATTCTCTCCTAATATAATATTATTTCCTTATAAATATCCAAACTTTAATCAAAAGCAGTTTCAAAATTATCGTATATTGTATTTCACCTAAAATATCGTATATGGTATAAGAGCTGTGAAAAATATTGTATATGGTGAACAAATATTGTATATGGTATAAGAGAGCTGAAAAATATTGTATATGCATTTCCAAGACCCTCTATACACCCCCCCCCCCCCCCCCATTTGACTACAAGTTCTGCTTTGAATGCAAAATATTATATAGGACATTGGTTGAAAATATAATTATTTTAAAAACATTGTGCCCATCTTGAAAAAAATGGTGGCTGTCACACAATATTTACTGACATTTGCTGTAACTGGAAAAGTAGTGGAGCAATTTGTTCATATTTGAAATGTGAATACGTATAAGCATTCTACACTGTCTTATGACACTTTGGCAAGTGGGTGGCCATTTTTCAAAATTTTATGTTTGTTTTTTAACATTTTCTACTATAACTCGAAAAACAGTGGAACGATTTGGTTGAAATTTTATATGTGACTACTTAGAAGCATATTACATTTTCTTATGACAATTTGGTGAATGGTGATTTTGAAAAATGGTAGCCATTTTATGTATGTTATTTTACATTTAATAACTGGAAAAGTAGTGGAGTGATTTCGTTGAAATTTTATATAAGCATTGTACACTTTGTAATGACACTTTGGCTAGTTAGCGGCCATTTTGACAAATGGTGGCCTTTTTTATGTGTGTTATTTAAGAAATATAGACACATTACTCGTATTACGTGGGGGGGTTTTCGCGAATGTAACCAGGTGAAATATAGATTTTGTTCACAGTTTATAGAAGGCGTGAATATAGTTATATTCCAATTTAAAATAAACTATTTGAAACATTGAAGATTCTTTATTTCAGCTTTTTATTATATTATAAGTAATCAGTTTATAGTAAAACATATTTTCCAAGCATTTTCCACCCATTCTATGATTTGCTAGATCTTCTTGAAATGGAAATAAGGTTCCTTTATTAGATCTCCCCATGGTATTTTTGTTGAAAGTACTTTCCAAAGTAAGCCCATGATAAGACGGAACATAAATAAGTTATAGCCTAAACCTTATTTTCATTTTTAGAGCCCATGGGGTTTGAGCAAAGTTATTTGCAAGAGATGTATTTTGACAAAATCATAATGGATGTTCTGGTTTATATGCAGGACTCAGACCTCAGCTAACTAACAGTTTTTTCACATCAGCTGCAGCTGATCAGCTGTGCTTACAAGCTCTTATAAAAATCAACAGGTCAGGTTAGTTCACCCTGCTCAACTAAGGAGATATTTCAATCAATAATTGTTTGTGCAGTAGTATTATGATACTACAGTAGCACTAACGCTTACATGTTCTGAAACTGTGTTATATATTCAGGTGAAATGAGTTAATAAAACAGGAGGCTCAGAATTATTTTAGGGCAGACTGACTTGATATATGTGATAACCACTCATTATTATTTATACAGGTAAGGCGTTATAGTATTAACTGTCATTCTATCACTAATATGTGAAACATACATGTATACAGTATCATGGTGCAGAGTGCAGACATCATAGGAGAGATTCTGAACAATACGGCATAATCTTATCAGCAATGGATGTTATGCATCTAACATGATCCAACATTTACACAGTATATGTGTGACATAGTACTACAAGTGAAACTAGCAAAGGTATGTAGGGCTTTACAATTACCTAGATAAGGAGTCTTGTTGGGTCAAAAAACATTTTTTGAAATCAGTATTTTAAGTGCTGGCATTTTGGGTATAAATTATCAACTGTGTAAAGGTGCATCTTGATTTTTTACAAACTCAATAGCTATACATTTTTGGGTCAGTTATTCAGACCTTTTCAATGTTCTGATGGACTTCATCAAATATGCTCTCAGATGTTCTAAATTGTTTATAAAAAAATTGCAAGCCAATATTCATAGTTGTATCTGCTGAGTGTAGATTTGCCTGCTTACTGTTCTATCATTTCATGAAGTTATCTGATTGAATCATCATTTTAGCCACTAGACCAGTTGCAATATGTTTGGAACAATGAAGGCCATGCTGCGAGGCATCAGTATCAGACAGGCATGTAGAAGTCAAGGTCTGATCCGTCCTCTTACTACATCTGGAGATATGCCACGAACAATTGACTGGAGAAATGGAGATAAGGTAGAACAAATTCACATAATAGGGAGGTTAAGATTAGCGTAAAATTGTACGTATACCTATCCCTATCCATATGTATCCCTATCCATATGACCTCCCATACAAGCATAGGGATAGGTATATGTACATTTTTACACTAATCTTAACCTCCCTATTATGTCATTATTATCATTGAGTACCATAGAAATCTGTTTTAGCTATTATGTATTTTGGAGTAAATTATTTATATACCAAGGTATTACCTAAGGACTAAAGCCGTGGACTCGGTGCAATGTGGAATGACCATTCTTTGTGGATGTTGCTTTTGCATGAGATGTGCAGCATAGAGTGTTAATTTTAGGAAACAACGGCTGAAAGAATGGTCATTCCACAATGCGTAATGAGTCTTGGGCTTAAATTCTTTTCACACATTGCAATATATTCTCTACCATGTCACTTAAAATAGTCTAAAAGATACAAAATCACTAAAATAACATATTTTCAATGAAACATTTTGCAAGGGCTACAAATTCCAATAACTTAACAAATACTGTTTAGACTGACTTCAATTTTTTCAAAATCATCACCTTTAATGACCTTTTTAAGGTCAAAAGGTCTTTTTTCATCTTGCTTCAAATTGACCTTTTTTTCAAATCATCTACGAGTTATCAGAAGTTCAAATTTGACTTTAGATTTGAGATTTGACCTTCAATGACCTTCTTAAGGTAAAAAAAGGTCAAAAAGATCTTTTTTCAACTCGCTTCAAATTAACCAATTCTTTTTTTCAAAATCATCTACAAGTTATCAAAGTTCAAATCTGACTTTAGATTTGAGATTTGACTTTCAATGACCTTCTTAAGGTAAAAAAAAGGTCAAAAAGATCTTTTTTCAACTCGCTTCAAATTAACCAATTCTTTTTTTCAAAATAATATACAAGTTATCAGAAGTTCAAATCTGACTTTAGATTTGAGATTTGACCTTCAATGACCTTCTCAAGGTAAAAAAGGTCTTTTTCAACTTGCTTCAAATTGACCAATTTTTTTCAAAAACATCTACAAGTTATTAGAAGTTCAAATCTGACTATGGATTTGAGATTTGACCTTCAGTAATCTTTTCAAGGTCAAAAAGGTATTTTTTCAACTTGCTTCAAATTGACCAATTTCTTTTTTCAAAATCATCTACAAGTTATCAGAAGTTCAAATTTGACTTTAGATTTTAGATTTGACCTTCGATGACCTTCTCAAGTTCAAAAAGGTCTTTTTCATCTTGCTTCAAATTGACCAATTTTTTTTCAAAATCATCTACAATTTCTCAGAAGTTCAAATCTGACTTTAGATTTGAGATTCCACCTTCAATGACCTTCTCAGGGTCCAAAAAGGTCTTTTTACAACTTGCTTCAAATTGACCAATTTATTTTTTCAAAATCATCTACAAGTTCTAAGAAATTCAAATCTGACTAAGATTGAACTCATAATATTGTGAGCAACAAGGTGGTGACATTTTGTCATGTTAATGCCTTGTTTAAACGGTGCTATAGTCCAGAGACTCCATTCTTCTCTGATATTTTACTATTCTGATGTTTTAAAATTCCATTTTCTCTTAATATTCTACCATTACAGGTACCATATTTTACCATTACAGATACCAAGAATGTTTTCAAATTCTATTAATCTCCCATATAACATGTACCCTCTGATGTACCATATTTCCAAAATTTCATTATTCTCCCATATTCTACCATTGCAGGTTCCAGGTGTGTTTTCAAATCAGGAGTTTGACCGCCGCATTTCAAACGTTCGTCAGCATATGTTAAAAGAGAACATTGAAGCGTGTGTGTTCACATCTTACCATAACATTAACTACCTCTCTGGCTTCCTCTACTGCAAGTTTGGACGTGACTATGGTCTTGTTGTAACACAAGACGACTGCACAGTACTCTCCGCTGGTATTGATGCTGGTCAGCCGTGGCGACGTTCAAGTGCAAATTGCGATAGCGTCACATATACAGACTGGCAAAGGGATAATTTCTTCTATGCTTTGGTATCAAAACTTCCAGGTATCAAGGGTCGTGTTGGGTTAGAATTTGACCATGTTACCTTAGACAATTTCAAGAAATTCCAAACTGCATTGCCTAACTGTGAGCTGGAGGATGTTGGGCTGCCATGTATGCAAATGAGAATGATCAAATCTGAAGAAGAAATCAATGTGATTCGTGAGGCAGCTAGGATTGCTGATATAGGTGGGGCTGCAGTAGTTGATGCGATTGATGTTGGTGTGCCTGAGTATGAAGTGGCTCGTGCTGGCACAACTGCAATGATCCGTGAAATTTCAAACTCATTCCCCGATTCAGATCTCATGGATAGTAAGTCTATGGCTGCATTTTTGTACATCCTTTTTTGACCGCGAGCAAGATTTTAATTCAAAAAATTAGCTAGATTGTGGTTATATTGCGATAATACCGCTGTGTAAACAAATAAATATTAAACAATATTTGAAAAATATAGAATTTTTAAAACCTTTTATACAAACTTTCATTTGATGTACAAAAAATACAAATAAAATCTATACACTATATTAAATGAATTGATTCTATTTAATCAAGCATGCAATTTGATATCGATAGTAAATAAAATAAAACTTTCAGGTAAACAATTAAAGGCAGTTTTACACGGGTTAATGCATGCTACATGTCATTATGTATTTTTCCCTTGGTAGGTTGTCGTGTATCTGTTGTGATGTAATTATTTTACAGCTTGGGTATGGTTCCAGTCCGGTATCAACACAGATGGTGCTCACAATCCCGTTACATCACGAAGGTTGCAAAATGGCGATATTTTAAGTCTCAACTGCTTTCCAATGATACAAGGGTAGGGCCAGAGTTTAATTATTATCCCATCGAACGAAGTTCGGAGGGATATAGGGAACGCCTCCGTCCGTCCGTCCGTACGTACGTCCGTCCGTACGTACGTCCGTCCGTACGTACGTACGTCCGTCCATCCGTACGTACGTCCGTCCGTCCGTACGTACGTCCGTCCGTCCGTCCGGGCAATAACTCAAATACCGTTGGCCCGATTTTGTTCATATTTTGTACACATATACCCTATGGGGGTAGAAGTTCTGCTCGAAAGCCGATTTTCAAAATGGCCGCTCATTTCAAAATGGCGGCCATTTTAGTGCCGAATTTACTGTAATTTAGGTGCAATATGTAAAACTGTAATAGCAATATGTTTTAGATGTAAAAAAAGTATATAGGACATTAATAAAGCTAGAAATGTAGATACTAAAGAAGCACATGGCAGCCATCTTGAAAAATGGCGGTCTTTACTCGTTATTTTACGATTTTTGCTGTAACTCGAAAAGTAGTGGAGCGACTTTGTTCATATTTGGTATGTGAATACTATAAACATTGCACACTGTCTAAAGACACTTTTAGTAGAAGGTGGCCATTTTGAAAAATGGCCGCCATCTTTCAAAATGGCCGTCATTTTAATGTATTTTACTATAACTCGAAAAGTAGTGGAGCGATTTTGTTCATATTTGGTATGTGAATACTATAAGCATGACACACTGTCCTATGACACTTTTGGTAGAAGGCGGCCATTTTGTTACTCGTTATTTTACGATTTTTGCTGTAACTCGAAAAATAGTGGAGCGATTTTGTTCATATTTGGTATGTGAATACTATAAACATTGCACACTGTCTAAAGACACTTTTAGTAAAAGGCGGCCATTTTGAAATTTTTTTTGAAAAATGGCCACCATTTTAACGTATTTTGCTATAACTCGAAAAGTAGTGAAGCGATTTTGTTCATATTTGGTATGTGAATACTGTAAGCATGGCACACTGTCTAATTACACTTTTGGTAGAAAGCGGTCATTTTTCAAAATGGCCGCCATTTTAACGTAATTTACTATAACTCGAAAAGTAGTGGAGCGATTTTGTTTATATTTGGTATGTGAATACTATAAGCGCAGCACACTGTCTAATTGCACTTTTGGTAGAAGGTAGCCATTTTAATGTATTTTTATAACTTGAAAAGTAGTGGAGCGATTTTGTTCATATTTGGTATGTGAATACTATAAGCATGGCACATGGTCTAATGACACTTTTGGTAGAAGGCGACCATTTTGAAAAATGGCAGCCATTTTTGCTATATCCTTTGTTTGTAAAAATGCCATCCATGGCTGTTCGATGGGATTCGCTACGCTTTGGCGTTGCCGTTGTTCTGGTTATTATTTAGTAAACACTGGCTCAAAGCCTTTAAAGGGTGACGCATATCGTTTAGCAAATCGAACGCTCGTTTCTGGTGTTGCTCACCGTTTAGTATAAAAAGCCCGATCCCGGAATAATACTCAAGGGTTCACAGGTTCGAGGTCGTTGTGTCAACACCTCTAACTGTTATATAGCATAAGTATATTATAGATCGTCACACATTTATAAAAGGGTGATTTTTATTTTGACAAATCAATTCCACATTTATGGGTGAAGTTTCAGGATCTTCTATTTGTGTATAATAAGGAAAAATTGGCATCTAAATTTCCCCATAACGTAATAGCACACAGCTTGGCATATGAAATATCCTACAAATGAAACAAAGCAAGACAAACCGGTTTCTAATACAAGGATTTATATTGGCTGTTGTACATGTATTCTTTGAACGCAATTACTCTTTGGATAACGTTTTCAAAACCATTATAAACGGATTACTTTATCTCAAAGACAATTTCAATGAACTGGATTTTACAGAACTCCCCTTATTTCTTAAAAATGGACTGATCCAGTTGATTCGCCTGGAGCCGCCATATTGTTTTTATACGGGATGCTAATCGTCACCCTTTAAATATTTTCTGTTCACAATGATGTATTACAAAAAATGCATTTGTGAATAAGACAACACTTTCAAGAAATTAATGCGTAAAACATGATTAATGCTTTTGTAATAATTTCTTTGTTTAAAATATTCAACTAATTTTACAGATACTATGTTGCATTAGAGCGAACCATGTTTGTGAACCATGCCAATGAACGCAACCTTGAACTTTGGAACCTTAATGTCAAAGTGCACGAAAGAGGATTAGAACTGATGAAACCAGGGGCAAAATGTTGCGATATTGCCAAGGAACTAAATGAGATTTACAGAGAGGCAGATATGTTGCAGTATCGTAGTTTTGGTTATGGCCACTCATTTGGTAGTCTTTGTCACTACTATGGCCGTGAAGCAGGTAAAATATGAATTCAAAAAAGCCAAGCATGCATTATTACATTCTGACCAATCAGAATTCAGTATCATAACCAATGGTTCTGAATTGATAATGCATGATTTTATTGTTTGTCCTTGTAACGTTTCCACACTGCATGACTGGCATTGTAATTTGCTAAACTTCTCTATTTCTTTACTTGGAAAAAAATCTCTACTCAAATTTTGTTTGATAAGATGATTAAAATGTAGAGGTTTCAGGGACAAATAAATAAATAATTTCGATATCCACTTTCAGCCCTAGAACTGAGAGAAGACATCGAGACTGTATTGGAGCCTAATATGGTCGTATCCATGGAGCCGATGATCTCACTTCCTGAAAGTGACCCAGGTGCAGGTGGATATCGGGAACATGATATCCTTGTGATAACTGAATCAGGTTCAGACAATATCACCAAGTATCCCTATGGACCTGAACACAATATTATTCGCACAAAGTAATCAGTCCTTTACATTTAGCACCTTATAATCATCATAAAACTTTGACTCACTTTAAATAGACTAAAAATTTTAACGCATATTCGACTGCGGCAAAATTTAAACCCAAGGATGTGGAGGCTTAGATTTTGTTTCACAGATTCTAAAATAAGTGAGGCAAAATTTACTCCAAAGAGATGTAATAAATCATGAATTTTAATAATATGAACATGAGACAAAAAGGCTGCTCATTCTATAGAAACAAAATGATGCTAAACAAGTGATTAATTACCCTATCTAGCAACATGTATCTGTTTATAGAATAGATATATGTAATATATGTATAATACATTTATGGTAGATAAAAACAATCAAAAAGCCAAAATGTGCCCGTTATGAGACTTCATTTACCGGGTCGAATATTTTTCTGAGTTTTTAACTATATTGTTTTAACCCCATTTTTATAATGTTATGATATTATACATTAATGTTGTATGTGTTTGTCTCAAGGCCTTAATAATAATTTGTGAGCTTTTATGAATTGACAAAATTTCCCAAGATGATATACACATTGTTTTATTGACAAAATTCTATGGAAGAAGTGTTTTAAAAAGTGCCAATGTATCAGATATGGCATATGTTTACCATTATGATATGACAACATTAGGCTATGATATTTCTCTTTTTTGCAACATTGGGGTCTTAATACATTAGCGTTGTATGACTACTCTGGATACTCCCATGAGTGAAGTTTAAAATGATTGTTTTGACAGATTATATATACTACCCAGTGAACATTAACATGTACATGTACATCCTTTGAGAACATACTTTATATTGGCTTTAGTGTTTCTATTGTTTTAACTCAATGACAAATGTAGCATTTTCTATTGTAAAATGCCATGAAGGAAATGGAAAATAATTTATCTTTACATTCACTGAAAACCATTTTCAAAAATTTTTGAAAACAAATATATTTATGTAAATGTAGATTATCAATATTTTGTACATGTATAAATGTAATAATTATATGTATATTATATTCTTATATATACACATAAAATTAAGGAAATATTTTAGACTTACTGTAAATTGTATTTGCAAATATTTTTAATAAGGTGCTTTTCAAATTGATGGTAGATTTTCTCGGCTGAAGTTATATTATAGTATTATTATATATAGTACATGTAGTCTTAAATGAGTCTGAGAAGCAGTCATAACATGTACTATTTTGTACGTTATCTGATCCACATGGAGTTTTAATAAAGAAATGAAAAAATTAAATTAAATTTTAGTCTTGTATGATATAATGGTGAATTTTGAATTCTGCTGTTGTAGACTATGTAGGGTAAACCCACAACGAATAGGCTTTTAACATGTTTAATGTACAAGACCTTTCCAATAAATCCTCTTAAACTAGGGTATATTGGCTAGCTTTATGATGTTATTTTTTGCAATCGGTAATTAAATATTTTAAACAAAATTGGAATTTTGGGGAAATTGGCATTTTGTTAATTCCATTTCTGCGCTGAAACTGTAAAAATGACATCATAACCAATAGGTGGCACTGAGAGAATGACATCATAACCAATAGGTGGCACTGAGAGAATTACATCATAACCAATAAGTGGCATGACTTACTAATCTAGGGCCATTAACAGAAACTTCGTAAAGTTAAGAATAAGTAAATCAATTGTTGTAACCATGGATATAATGACATCACAGTTAGAGAACAATGGATTTTATGAATTCTTAACTTTAAAAAGTTTCTGTTAATGCCCCCTGGTATTTTCTTTACCTCACACAAAGCGCTTAATTTTTTATGCTCCCTTTTAAATCAATACTAATTCTTTGATCTCCATCCCATCAAAATATCATGGTACATTTTCTGCATATGAAGAGCAGTCATTTTTCACATTCAAACCACAATAAAAGATGAAAATGTGACAGCTACATTTGAGACCCTTAATAATATCTTTAAGGAAATCAATACTGTAAAATCATATGCAGTAGTAACAAGAGGATAGTTTGGGTAGCTGATGGGATTAAGAATTGAAACATTGGATTAACTTATTAACATAGGCTAACAAGGCATTAACATCCAAAATGTCATAATGTACTATTTGTTTCATGCAATATGTTTACGTTTTAATTTGAGTTGGGTCCCACTTTAATTTTACAATCATCCAATTCTGTGATTTTATGAAACTTTTTGTAAATGGCAACATTTAAATCCATTTCGAGATATCCTATTTAATGTCTGCTTTATTCATAAATATATGAAGGTTGACATAAGAGTAATTTCTGTTATGTATCATGTATTTCAACAACCCAAAACTAGAGTGATTAGTCTATGCAATAGCAAATTTTATTTTCATTCAGTCGATATACCTCATAGAGTATTGATATATTGACAAAATTCATGAAACAAGTGAGTGATTGCAATAGCTCACCATGTGAGCTAAAAAGGTCGAACAATTTCTGCATCTACCCACTCAGACAATGTTGACATACTTCACAAACTAGCCTTAAATATTATAGAGACCTTTATACTCAAAGAACTCTATGAACATAAAACATATGTACTCATTAGCCAGAGACTTTGAAGATTTCACACAGGAAGTGATACCCCTTCAGACCCAAATATCACATTCACAACTCATTATTCTCTTAATAGATTCACTGATATTTGACCTAGGTCCAAAATGGAATCTAGCTATTTGACAGTTGCTTTTGTAATCACTGTTTCTGAAACAATAACAGACTCAAGCTACACTGCCTAAATGTATAAATGATTCTGAATAACCTTGCACTATATGCTAGGTTTTTGTTTCCATTTTATTGTCTTGTTTGGCTCGTACATTCTGAGAGCCAGTGTCCCATTCCACCGCAGTTACTGTCTGTTTTGCGCCATGAGGAGGTGGACCAATCAGAGCCTGCACATCCTCATATGATAATACTTCCTTCTCCAGCAGTGTTTCAGCAATCTGAAAAAATGTAACGTCTGCTTAATTTGGGTAATTTTGGGATAAAAATGTAATATGATTTGTTGCATTATGGGTACAAACAGTTTCATGTAATTGTGCATTTTCTGGTACATGAAATAGTATAGATCAAATCTGAAGGAAATGCCAACAATTTGCTGAAGTTTCACTTTATAAACACAGTTGAATTATTTATGAGAAAAACTTCAAGTGGGCCAACTGCTGATATAACATTTAAACTTGCCTGTGAATGTTAGTACACAAATCTAGATGGAAAAGGTTAATTCTACTTGGCCATTACCTTAAAGTATCTAATAAATATTGTTGTAAAGATTTCTACCTTGACTAATTTGTCTTTGTGTGTCTGCAGTAGTTCTTCTGTATGTCTGTATGCTTTAGTTACCAGTGATCTTGCTTCCTGAAATTCAGTAACATTATTATAAAATGAAGTTACTGTTACTGTATGTTTGATGTATCTGGTTATGGGATATTGGAGGTAAATGTCAATATCTTGTTTGTAAAGAAATCAATAAAGGATAAGATCCTCTCCCACTTCATTGAAACTCAACGTTTTTTCACCCCCTAAGAAATTACGATACTTAAGCATAAAAATGACATCAGCCCCTTTATATGAAAAACTTTACTCTAAACCTTTCTTACATTAATGTATATGAGCACTGAAAAGTATGTTTTTGATTCCCATGCAATACAACTCACATTATCAATGGTTGAAGCCAATAGTTTGCTGTAGGGTTTCTTTCCAAAAGTGTCGCCATTATCTGGGAATGCGATATTTCCCACTGTCTCATTCATTCCAAACTGCTTCACTTGTCTATATGCAATGTTTGTCACTTTCTGAAGGTCATCTTGTGCTCCTGCAATAAAGTGTCCCATAATGCAATAGATTGTCTGCTCTAACATTAACTCCTTGTAATTCCTTGATATGGTTTTCCCCAAACACAAACACATATTGCATGAAATCCAAAAGATTTTCAAGGCAAAATTAAGGCATGTGTTGGGAAAATATAGTGCAAGTACGTCTAAACAGTATATTTTGTAGTATGTAATTTTAGATATGACACACAGACAAGCTGTTTTGACTGACTGACAGATGTTATCACTTGATAGCTGGTACAAACACCATGGGGGTCTCATCGCAGAGCTCCGGTATGGGAATTTTGGACATGCTATTTTAAATTTCTTAGTTCTCACCGAATATTTACTCTATCTTTTTTTATTTTTTATTTTTACAACTTGCTAATGATACTCATAGGCTTTTCAGTGAATTTTTTTCATCAGTTGCTGAGAAAATACTTGTCAAAAAGTGTCTCATTTTTTGGGGACATCCGATATAAAACATCACCGTGCTCATGAATATTTCACCATCTGATTGATGAGATCTGACTTTTTGGCAAATCTAAACAATTTATAGTATATTTTTTGCCTTCGCAACCTACCTGTAGTGACCTTATTGAAAGTGAGGCTCTCTGCCACCCTGCCCCCTAGTGCCATACACATCTTCTCAAACAGTTGCTCCGTGGAGTAGAGTTTATTGTCTGTGGGCATATACTGGGCAAACCCTAAAGCACTACTGGTACGTGGCACTATAGACACCTAAAAGTTATACATACGTATACTTTCAGAATAAGCTCTAGTGAAAGCAACTCTTAAACTCTGACAGTAAAAATCCAAAATGTATGACAATTATTCAAAATACTGTAAAACATGTTTAATTCATGAATTTAATTTTCACAAATTCAGAACTTCTTAGTCATACAATGTTGAGCTGAATGTTTATTCATGCTTATTTGTTCAACATATCAAATATTTGTCACCTTGAGCAAGGCATCTGTATGTTTCAACATCCATCCTGCAAGGGCATGCCCAGCCTCATGGTAAGCAACAACACGTTTCTCCTCAGGTGATAGTACGGTGTTTTTCTTGGCAGGACCTGAGAACATAATAACAATATACAGATTAATTTACTTCAAATTGAATTACAACAAAATTCAAACAGAAGAACGATTAATTTAGTCATTGCATGGAGTGGTTTATTTTGTGTGAGGTTAAGCAATTCTTAAATGCGAAATTCTTGATGTACTCTGGTTCTTTTCCAAAGTTAGATGTTCTCCGGCAGATCTCATTCCTTGAATATTTATTTGCTGAATTTATCTTATTATTCTGAACTGCATGATGTCATCTTTATTTTGTGTATATTTTGTTTTTTGATGAGCTTCTTGGGCCACTGTACCCCTATATTAAATAGTGTAAGGCAAACCCTTACAGCCTTACACTATTTATTGGTTTTTCTTTAGAAAGAATCTTGCTATAACGGAAAAAGGTGATGTGAGATTTCATTGTTTTCACCTGCTATTACTCTTTCTACAGCATACTCAAAGTCGGAGACATCAATAACTTTCTTTTGGTCTCTGGCAGCATGAAGAGCAGCCTCGTTACAAATGTTAGCTATGTCTGCACCTGTAAAACATCATTAAGTCTCATATTAGTTCCGTTGCATGGTACAAGGGGTCTTGATGCTAAATCATACTCACAATGCATTTTAGATGTAATTAAGGTTTTATAACAAGTATGGACCTACAATATGGATTTATACACTTCCAGTTTTATATAGATTACATGTAGGTGTATGCTTCCTGATCATTTCCTCATATGTAAATGAGTAAACTTTTCAACAGTTCAACAAAAAAGTCTCAGATGACAGTCCTAATCTACCGCTCCAAATGATCAGTCACTCAGGCGTCCTTTAAGATTAATAATGCAACATTTGAATCATATGACATATTATCACTCACACCAGGTGACAAGCAATCTTGAGCAATATTTACCAACATAGGCCCAAAACATATCCAATAACAAATCACAATATGAACAGACTATGTCTTATCTCAATTCAAGATACAATAAAAATGCAACACAAAACATATCCCATAATGCACAGACGACAACTTACCACTCATGCCAGGAGACAATTCTGCCATCCTGGGAGCGTATTTACCAACATCAGCTGCTAGGGAGAGCTGTTTCAGGTACATCTCAAATATCTCCTGTCTTTCTATTACAGTTGGAAGGTCTATCATAATATGGCGGTCAAATCTTCCAGGACGTAATAAGGCCTGTAAAATAATGAAATAAACTGAAGTGATATTCCATATCTGAATGATGTTTTGTGTGCTATATGATATTGCAGTATGATCTAGAGATCAAAGTAAATAAATTTAACCAGAATAATTGAAGACTTGATATATTTGGTGAACAATTTCCGAAAAATGTATTCCACAAAATTGATAAAATTAATCTGAAATAATTTTATGTAATATTGTACTCATCATTTATAGTGGAATAAAAGATACATAAACGTAATATAAGAACATCCTCATTAGACAGTATATACACAGGCTGGTATCGAAATATTTGTCCGCTGTGACGGAGCATGCTATTTTTCATAAAAACACTAAGAATACTTCACGATTTATTTTTTAACTCATATGTTTCGTTATACCATACCAAATTACTAACTCCATGCAATGGATATATCATTTGCGGGTAACTTTCACTTCTGTTTGAAGTCCAATTACGCTGGGAAGAAAAGCTATTGAAAATGGCGCCGGAGTATCAAACTTTAAAATGTACCATTTCTTGTTTAACTTTCTAATGGCACGATATAGTGACACGATAATATTTACATATGGTTTCAGCATAACTATGAAGGTATAAATGAGATGTTGATGTATTTGGTCTTTTTAATTCTTTTTCTAAAAAATAATGTTTAATTTTTTTGTCCGCTGTGACGGAGCAGTTGCAAATGTGAACTGTGAAAATGCTCCGTCACAGCGGACAAAAAATATTAATATTATTTTTTATAAGAAAATTAAAAAGACCCAATGCATTAATATCTCATGAATACATTCAGAGTTATGCTGAAAACATATGTTAATATTAATATGTTAATATATCATGCCATTAAATAGTTTAAAAAGAAATGGTACATTTTAGAGTTTGATACTCTGGCGCCGTTTTCAATAAATTTTACTCCTAGCGTTATTGGACTTCAAACAGAAGTGAAGGTTACACGCAAATGATATATCCATTGCATGGAGTAAGTAATTATCTTTGATATAACGAAACATATGAGTTAAAAAATAAATCGTGAAGCATTCTTAGTGTTTTTATGAAAAATAGCATGCTCCGTCACAGCGGACAAATCTTTCGATACCAGCCTGTGATATAATCCACCCGTTTTTTCTTAAACTGACTGTAAAAATATCTTAATTTTTCTCAATTTTCAAAATTCTCGATAAGGTGCATAAAAAAATATTTCTGGGTACTTTAGTGACAAAAACTTTTCAAGTGTTAAGGGTCCAACATCCAATTGCTTCAATGATGAGATCACTGGAACACTTGCTTACCTTATCTAGAACATCTGCCCTGTTAGTTGAGGCCAGCATGATGACACCTTCTTGAGTTCCCATTCCATCCATCTCTACCAGTAGCTGGTTCAATGTATGCTCGCCTTCTCCACCACTTGAGTCCCAGTTGCTGCAAAATATGACAATCATTCAATGTATGATCCTACTATTAGTAGAATTATGCTCCATTATTAGCATTAGCAATGGTTCTCTTCTGTAGCTTCACATACCAGTTGCTACAAATATAATACTTGTTTAATGAGTTAATTTCTTCTCCACCCCTCAAACTACATTCATATAAGTCAAAAAGATGAAAAATTGACAGCATAATGTAAAAGTTATGGAAAGGCATAAGCTAATACGATGGTGAAATACCAATGGAAATTGATATTGGAATGGAACTGGTCTTTTATCATTTTCCTAATTATCCCATCGAACGAAGTTCGGAGGGATATAGGGAATGCCTCCGTCCGTCCGTCCGTCCGTACGTACGTCCGTACGTACGTCCGTCCGTCCGTCCGTCTGTCTGTCCGTCCGGGCAATAACTCAAATACCGTTGGCCCGATTTTGTTCATATTTTGTACACATATACCCTATGGGGGTAGGAGTTCTGCTCGAAAGCCAATTTTCAAAATGGCCACTCATTTCAAAATGGCGGCCATTTTAGTGCCGATTTTACAGTAATTTAGGTGCAATATGTAAAACTGTAATAGCAATATGTTTTTAGTGTAAAAAAATTATAAAGGACATTAATAAAGCTACAAATGTAGATATTAAAAAACCACATGGCAGCCATCTTGAAAAATGGCGGCCTTAACTCGTTATTTTACGATTTTTGCTGTAACTCGAAAAGTAGTGGAGCGATTTTGTTCATATTTGGTATGTGAATACTATAAACATTGCACATTGTCTAAAGACACTTTTGGTAGAAGGCGGCCATTTTGAAAAATGGCCGCCATTTTAACATATTTTACTATAACTCGAAAAGTAGTGGAGCGATTTTGTTCATATTTGGTATGTGAATACTATAAGCATGGCACACTGTCCTATGACACTTTTGGTACAAGGCGGCCATTTTGAAAAAAAGATTTGAAAAATGGCCGCCATTTTAATGTATTTTACTATAACTCGAAAAGTAGTGGAGCGATTTTGTTCATATTTGGTATGTGAATACTATAAGCATGGCACACTGTCCTATGACACTTTTGGTACAAGGCGGCCATTTTGAAATTTTTTTTTGAAAAATGGCCGCCATTTTAACGTATTTTACTATAACTCGAAAAGTAGTGGAGCGATTTTGTTCATATTTGGTATGTGAATACTATAAGCAGGGCACACTGTTCTATGACACTTTTGGTAGAAAGTGGCCATTTTGAAAAATGGCCGCCTTTTTAACGTATTTTACTATAACTCGAAAAGTAGTGGAGCGATTTTGTTTATATTTGGTATGTGAATACTAAAAGCATGGCACACTCTCTAATGACACTTTAGGTAGTAGGCGGCCATTTTGAAAAATGGCCACCATTTTTACGTTTTTTACTATAACTTGAAAAGTAGTGAAGCGATTTTGTTCATATTTGATATGTGAATACTCATGAGCCTTGCACACTGTCTCATGACAATTCAGGTAGTAGGCGGACATTTTAAAAAATGGCTGTCATTTTTACATTTTTTACTATAACTCGAAAAGTAGTGGAGCGATTTTGTTCATATTTGATATGTGAATACTCTAAGCATGGCACATTGTCTAATAAAACTTTGGGGTGTAGTCGGCCATTTTGAAAAATGGCCACCATTTTTATGTGTGTTATTTTACAAGTACATGTGTGCGATTTTTCATATTATAGGTGGCTACTTAAGAGCATATTATTTCTTCTGATGACAACTTGGCTAGTGAGCAACCATTTTGAAAATGGTGGCCTTTCTGGTGTGTTTTTATGATATTTGCTGTATATTTCGTTTGTAAAAATGCCAGCCATTTCTGTTCGATGGGATTTGCTACGCTTTGGCGTTGCCGTTGTTCTGGTTCTAATTTTCCTAATGACAAGAAACTTCCAATTCGATAACAATATGAAAATAACATTTCGGACATCTAATTTTCCAAACCTGGTAGCAATAGGCAAATTAAATGATTAGACAAAATTACCACCATGTTCAATTTCATGCAGAGGTAGAATCAAGTCAAACAGGAGAAAATGTATGAACCCTCAACACATCGCCAATGGAGAATGTCCTGACTACAGATAGTGAAATGGGCAATGTGGAAGAAGAGGAATGTAACAAAAAGCTGTGTTTTTAATTTTCAGAGACTAGCAATTCTCCCTTTCGCGGTTCGCTCTTTGAATCAGAACGTTCACAAATATGTTCTGAAAAAGCACTCAAAAAGGACAAAACTTGATTGGTCAATATTTTCCCACTATGCATTTCGCGCAGCTATTTGCGTGACCCGAAAGTTCTAAATCAAACTAATTACGCAATTTTGTTTTTACACCCGTACGCTAAATAAAACAATGACACCATCGGAACTATTCTTCTTTGTCATTGCTTTAATAGTCAGTATACCGAGTTTAATCAATAAAAGATTGTACAATGAACAACAGAATTCGGAAACGAGTACTATAGATTTGCTTTCGGACCACTGAACAGATTGACCTAGATAATAGCGACGCGTCTTCTTTTGTCTACTGCTCAGTTGTTTGTGGGTTTTCAACGTAACTCTATAATGTAATTTGAAGATGAATACTTTTGTTCAGTTGTTGCATCGATTTTGCAGTTTGTAGTGCGGTAAGATTGGCATGAAAGTATTGAAAGTCAAATGGAATTGTTTTTTCCAATATGGTGACTAGTCAACTGATCACGTGACCTTCTCTTCCGGAATATTTTCTCACTTTTCAATCGTCGTTTTCACCACGCTATGAATCAATACAATGAAAAAATAGCTGTTATATTAAGATTAATAAGAGATCAATCGTTTCTAATAATTTTTTCTGTACTCTAGTACGGGAATATGAACGAATATATCGTTTGAAAAATAGGTGTGAAAATCCCCATGTTAAACCTATGAGGGAAAACAAGGAAGTATAAATTTGTTCCCCCGCGAACTGCATCATGGGAAATATTTTGACCTTATAAGGAAAGATTTTCGCGTCTCCTCTTTTGAAGAGGGAACAACGATTTCGAGAATTTTTTGATAAAATGAATACAACTATAATATCTGAATATTGTGTATATGGTTGTGTACAAGCTTTACATTTGAAATTCATCAAATGTAATTATATGAAATAATTTAATGTTAGTGGTTTGAAAGAAGTCAGGATTTCTGTGTAAATAAAAACACATTTCCCTTTTCTACCAAAAATCACCTCTCATGTTTAGAACTGAAGTCTTAGCAACACTAAGTGGTGAACATCAGAGTAACCTGGACAGATCATTTTATAGGACATCTTTTCTAAATAATTTTTTAGAATTTTATGTTATAATTTTTCATTTGAAAACTTGAGTACATTTTTATTTAAATACAAGTTAGGGTGAGATAAATAAAAAGTTCACACATTTCAAAATAATATTTAAAAAGGAGAAGTGATCTCTAAAATGATCTGTCTGAGTATGTCATATATAAACTTCTAGCTTGCGTTTTTAAGGTATTTCTGAACAATAGTTTTCATTCATTTTAACAAAAGAACCTCAGTATAAGAAGTATGTTTTATTTCCTAAATATGCATGTGAGAGGGAACATAAAGAGGGTGCATAAGAAAGCTCAATTCATATTTACAAACTGTTCATTTTATGAAAGATCATATTTGAATAACTTTTTAAATAAATAATTCAAAATACAAGAAGTACTCAAATAATCGTGACATTCTTTATTTTGAACTCATTCAAAATACAATGACATATCAACTTGTATTGTTCATGGGAATCCCAATATGTTGTAGGATTTTAGTGATTGCAGTTCAATAAGGGAGTTCCCCACATGACCATTAATTCAAAATGAAATTCAACATATCAACCAGTTTATGCCTCACTTTCCCTTACTAGATATCAAGTTCTTAATTGATTTCCATTTTTTCATTAGAAGGGGTCTTCTTTCATCCTTCATCCTTTGTCTTTGTGCTGCTTGTGCGGCATAGATTTTAGGGATAGCCTTCCGCATATTTTCCTCGGGCGTGAGTTTTGGCCATGATGTTGGTCTGGGTCCACCCTTTTTCCAATCCTTAGTTTCTTCCAGCGCAGCATACATTTTTTTACGACTGTCCTCAATAACTTCTTCTTTAGTAAGTGGCTTAGGACTTATGTTCTCATAGACATCGTCTTCATTCGGAATAGGTGGTTGTGGCCTTTTGTAGATGGGTAAAGAGCATAACCCATTGGAATGCTTTTCATCGTCTTTATTGAGCTCAACTGAGGAAGAACTGTTAACAAATTTCATTTTTGGATGTGTTACGTCTTGATCAAACGCTCTTCCATTACTATTATCTGTTGCGGAGTGGATAAAGTCATTTTTATAAATGTTCGCACTTTCATCATCAAAATCTTCATATAAGTCATCGTCAGTTGCAAGTTTGTAAGCATCATTCAAGTTTTCATTGTCAGCTACAGAGTGGACACTAGTATGGTTATCTCCAAGGTGAAAGTTAATAGTTATGTCTTCATTCGGAATAGGTGGTTGTGGCCTTTTGTAGATGGGTAAAGGGCAGAACCCATTGGAATGCCTTTCATCATCTTTATTGAGCTCAACCAAGGATGATCTGTTACCAAATTTCATTAGTGTTACATCTGGATCAAATGATTTTCCATTATCTGTTGCAGAGTGGATAGGGTCATTTTTATAAATGTTCACACTTTCATCGTCAAAATCTTCATATAAGTCATCATCAGTTGCAAGTTTATAAGCATCATTCAAGTTTTCATTGTCAGTTGCAGAGTGGACACTAGTATGGTTATCTCCAATGTGAAGGTTAATAGTTATTTCTCCAACTGGCTTTTTTCAATGCAGGGTTTGGCAGAATCTCCAGCATTCAAGTCATCACCGTCATTAACATTGTTCTCCAGTGATATGCTTCTTTTAAGACTGAATGTTATGTAATTGGTCGTTCCTTTGATAGTATCCTCGTTACTTTTTGCATAAAGCAAATTGTCCATGTACATACTTGTTTGGGTAGAAGCTTCATCAATGCAAGCCTTCACATTTGCAGATGGTTCTTCAATGTGTGTGTTTAGTTCACAACCTCTCTCAGGTTGCATAAAACTTGTCATACTCGATGTGATTTCTAAAAATATCAAAAGGACTCCTATTCAGTATCTAGTATACCCATTATTCATATCCTGGATTTTAATTGGCTAATAGGTAACAAATATTTTGATATATTCAAGATAAATCATGAGTGTCTATGGTAGAGAATGAAGAAAAATAAGTACATGTAATCACTTCAAACAACAACTATTGGCTAAATCTTTATCAATTAATAAAACAGGAAGACACGTTTAAATATTTAGAGAAATCAACACATAACAATCAATTTTACAAGAAAGCATGAAGGGAAACATTTAGATTAATTAATACAAGGTAAAACTTACCTTTGCCTCAATTCTGGTATAACACCATCACAACTTTCAGTGACAACTTTGTGAGCCAAGTGTTTTAAATGTATATACAGTATATGACTGTGGTACTTTCCGAAAATCTCTTAGAAAATGTGAACCTTGAACTAAAAATATCTTAAATCAAGCTGTAAGTGATTTCAATTCAATATCAATGTATACTTATATATAAACTTCAAACAAAGCATTTTCATTCACACAATTTCTTTTTACATTACATACAAAACATAAACAAGTGTAGCAAATAGAACATTCAAGCCACATGAATAAACATGATATTTGTAGGATAAAAGGAAAGGAAAATGTAAATAAAAACTCTCAGAGTGAAATAAAGTTCTGGCAGAGATCCCTACACATTTGCACATTTTTCAAAAAACGATGCAGCAGGTTTACAAAATAAATATTTACATTGGCGATTTTTATTAAATGAGGACCTAATAATTCTATTTTATCTTGTGTTTCCAATGAGAATATCGAGGCTAAATAGAGCTAACCAAAATTTCAAAAAGGCCTTACTTAAGCTTTAATATGCTGTTTAAGAACCGCAATTATTACTATTGAAAATGGATTTTAGCAATACCATCCCACATGAAAGTAGTTATTGAGACTCGATCAACTTGAGTTCTAAGAAAATGAGGATTTTTTATCTATCCCCTAGGTGACATAATGACATGATGGTATCCCATCTCATGCTTAGTCATTAGCCAATGGTGTATATTCCCTTGTTAAGTCAATGTACCCTTGCTGAAATCCTCATTTTCTTAGAAGAACTCAAGCTGATCGAGTCTCACCAAGTAGATTCAGGTTAGAATCCATTTTCGATTGTAAGAATAGGGGTTCATAAACAGGACATTGGACTTGCTTTTTAGAACTTTTTGTTGGCTCTAAAATCCTTGCCTGACATCTATAAAATAGAAAAATATAACATGAAATGTTGTTTCATTTGTATGGTCAGTAAAATTTTGAGTAAAAGTTTATATATATTTTGAGTGATTGTTAACATATATTGCCAAAAATCTGTTGAAACTTTATTTATATAAGAATTCAAGTAAGAATTTGATCATTACTCCATTATAGTTATTGCAGATGGTTATAAAAGTGTAACAGACACTAAATGCTGATGCCAAACATTGTCAAAAACAAGTTGGAGGCCATAAGAATATGTTACCACTTCTTCTGAGGACCATAATAATTGAGTTTTTATTTGAGTAATTGCTAATTGCAACTTTGAGCCCCTAAAATTGAGTTCTTCCACAGCAGTTTCAATGAATGTTCCAATGGCTTGGAAAAAATAATGTTGAAAATATTTACAGATAGTTCATCATCCAGTCGAACAATGGTGGAAAATGATCCTTATATCTTTATGCTTGATTATGGTCTTATATATTTATGTTTATATGAACATATGATGAATACAATATATCCTCACATGGGTTCCCCAGAAGTGAGAAGTCTCATGTCAATCTATCAGAATCTACAGCAAATAATCTCCTTCAAAATACAATGACATCTTCACTCCAGTCCTATTGTTCATGGGAATCCCAATTTGCTAGAGGATTTTGGTGATTGCAGTTCAATAAGGGAGTTCCCCATGTCAACATTATTCAAATACATAAATCAATGTATAAGTTGTTTACCACACTTTCTTCTTATGGCTTTCCCTTACTTAAGATCAAGTTCTTAATTGATTTCCATTTTTTCATTAAAAATGGTCGTCTTTCATCCTTCTTTCTTTGTCTATGTGCTTCTTGTGCAGCATAGATTTTAGGGAAAGCCTTACAGATATTTTCCTTGGGCGTGAGTTTTGGCCATGATGCTGGTCTGGGTCCGCCCATTTTCCAATCCTTAGTTTCTTCCAGCGCAGCATACATTTTTTTACGACTGTCCTCAATAACTTCTTCTTTAGTAAGTGGCTTAGGACTTATGTTCTCATACACATCATCTTCATTTGGAATAGGTGGTTGTGGTCTTTTGTAGATTGGTAAAGAGCAGAACCCATTGGAATGCTTTTCATCATCTTTATTGAGCTCAACTGAGGAAGAACTGTTATTGAATCTCGTTTTTAGATGTGTTACATCAGGATCAAATGCTTTTCCATCATCTGTAGCAGAGCAGTTAAAATCAATGTCATTATTGTCCAAAGTGCTTACATCAAATGGAGCATCATCAAGATCTGCATATAGCTCTTCATCATCAGTTGCAAGTTTGTAAGCATCATTCAAGTTTTCATTGTCAGTTACAGGGTTGACACTAGTATGGTTATCTCCAATGTGAAAGTTAATAGTTATTTCTCCAACTGGCTTTTTTCAATGCAGGGTTTGGCAGAATCTCCATCATTCAAGTCATCATCGGCACTAACATTGTTCTCCAGTGATAAGCTTCTTTTAAGATTTAATGTTATGTAATTGGTCATTCCTTTGGAAGCATCCTCATTACTTTTTGCACTCAGCGACTTGCCCATTAATATACTTGTTTGGGTAGAAGCTTCATCAATGCAAGCATTCACACTTGATGATTTTTCATTGGTTGTGTTTGATTCACAATCTCTTTCAGGTTGAACAGAACTTGCCATAGTTGATGTTATATCTAAAAATATCAAGAGGACTCATATTCAGTATTTATATATCTAGTATTCCCATTATCAATACTCCTAGATTTTTGGGTTAATAGGTACAACCCCAATCTGCACTCTGATATAATGGTACCATGCAATAAGAGTATGGTACCCTAAGGATGGTTCCATTATGGTGCAGTACTGTACATCCTTCACGTACCTTACACCAAACAACTATGAATGGCTAAATCTTTTCAACCTTATTGTATAATAACATTGACAGACAAGCTGAACAATTCAAAGAAATGAACATGATCAATTGAACAAAAAACATGAAAACATACCTTATGTTGGCCTTATTTCTGGTATGACACCCACTTCGCTTTTGAGGGACTGACTTGTGAGTCTAGGGTCTTATGTAGGTTTACGATCTTGGTATTCTCAGAAAACTTTATGCAAATCAAGGTTCAAGTGATTTCAAAACAAATACAATTTATAAATTTACATAAATAAAAATGTCAAACAAGTTGACAAAATGTCACAGCGCAAAGTATTAGAGAGTGAAAACATATCATTGTGTAAGTCCCATAATTTACAAACATTGTAACAGGAAGAGTACTCTATAACTGCAAAGAGATAAGTCAAAGTTAACATAATACCATACTTCTAGTTCAATATAAAAATAATGAAAAAAGCTCATTCATCTTCCTTCACAGTGCAATGTACAGTATATCATGTTTGAAAAATCTTGAACAAAAGCAACCTTTAACATTACTCTCACTAAACAACCACTATATTATTTGTTTTCATTACAGAAATAACCAACTTTGAGCCCATAAAGGATTTCTTACACATCTAGGTTTCAGTTAATGCCATTATAGAACTAGATAGTATATATTGCTTTTTGGTTAAAATATTGAATATTGCTTCATAATCCAGTAGGTTCTTTTTTGTTTTTATTTAAAATACATGTATGATGAAACCATTGAAACGCTTACAAAAAATATAAAAATATAAATATCATTAATTTGTATTCTTTATATGGGTGTTTATGTGTTTTACATTATGCATTAGCCAGTCACATATTACAAGAAAAAATTGAAAAGAATTTAAATATAAACAAGGAATTATCACAGCACTATTCCATATGTCACTTCACCTGGTTGCAATTCCAAAATTTTATCCATTTGTTACAGATGCCGATGCTGAATTCCAGTCACAAGCAAATGGTGCTGGTATATACATGAATAAAATAACGTGTGATAATGTACTTACTTTCCAGAGCTAATATTATGAGTTTCAGTTTAATAAACAATAGAAATGCATGATATATTTTGGTTTTTAGGTTAAAATGTTGATAAATTAAATTGAATTATAAGAATAAAACTTGCTATAGTTAATCTGAATATCATAAGTTATTTACATATATTATTCCCATTATTAAAACTCTTAAAAATGTACTTACTTTCCAGCTCTTTGCTTGCCTATGGCATCGATCTCATCAACATATATGATACAGGGTGACCTCTTTCTGGCCTCAGCGAACAAGTCCCGCACACGTGCTGCCCCGAGTCCTTGAAAAACAACACAAGAGTTATGATGAGAAAGGGCAACGTTTGACAATAATTAACAAGTCTCCATGTATCGTAGCAACCTTCTTTTCCTCCTTTTTTCCAATTTCCCGATTCTATTACAATTTCCCTGTGATAGAGAATAAAATACATTTCTAGGTCAGTGGGAACACTGTTCTTACCAGATATAAAATAATGAATTTGAGCTTATCTTACAGTAACCGTCTTCTGTAAAAATGTATCATATCATTTTTAAATTGATTATAGGAGTAGATGAAAATGAAAATTCTTATATAGAGACAACAAACCTAAACAATTAGCTAATGTTTAAGTGAATATAACATAATCTGTGGAATGGTCTATTGATATTCTTATATCATCATCAAGACTCTGAAAAATTTATAGTTGGAGTCCTAACCATTATCATATTCAGTAATACCAAATCAACAATTCTGCACTTCAATTGCATTTTCTTACCTCCTACTATTTCTACGAACTCTGACCCAGCCATAGCAAGGAATGGGACTTTGGCCTCATTGGCCACAGCCTTGGCTAACAGTGTCTTTCCACAACCTGGAGGGCCAAGGAGGAGAGCCCCCTTAGGGATCTTAGCACCAAGTTCCTAGAACAAAACAATCATACTTGATACCATTTTGATACCTTGAAATCATATTTGAAGTTTGAAACCTTGAATGAATTATAAGGGATAGAGAATGTTAAATGTTGTGTAAAATGTTGAAAGCACTTGCCAAACCATGCCAATGTTTATCTTATAAGTGTAACCTTATTTCCTGAAAAGAGAATTTGGATATAACAGTTTTTTAGAAAACACTTTCTTTAATTTTCAATTTCTATTTAATTGTCTACTTATTGTGAGAAATGTAATGAATTACAATACACATGTAAACTAAGTGCAAATAACAAACTTGGGTTGTCATTTTCATACAATTTGTATTAAATAAATCAAATTGCATATCTTTGTACTTCAGAATAATACCCAGTGGATAACAAATCCTGACACAGAAATCTATGTATACTATGAGATGAGGCATACTATATTAAATCTAATCATTGTGTTCAGTCAAACACAAGCCTGGGGGTACAGGTGTTAAAGCTAGCATATAAGTCAATAAATAGGTACATTAGTCCATATATAATGGATAGGTTGTTGTGTATAGTGTCATTGTGATCTCATTATTCATGTGGTTTATATACACCCCCCTCCATAAATTTCACAACCAGAAGTTCATTTTTGAATCACATATTAAGGCCTGTTTATGCTTGGTAAATTTTTTAAAAAATCATCAAATGTGTTTTTCCCAAATTCCCAAACTATTGTATTAAAAGAACAAAACTAGAAGACGGCAACTCCACGGAGTAGCAAATCCCAACAAACACTACAATATATATGAATCTGTATGTGTCACAAAAATATAAACATTAGAGATATATCAGAATTTCTACCAATTTAAGCATTTGGATGACCATTTAAGAGTTTAAAAGGCACAAATAATCAAGACAATTTGAATTTTCTGAGGCGCAAATCAGGAAAACAATACCATAATACTGATCTGTCCTTTTCCTTCAATTTGAGAATAATATAGCCAAGAAGAGATCAGAAAATTATTGCGAAATCCCACATAAGGTGGCCATTTTGAATATTACGAGACCCAAATCAGAAAAACGATACAATATTTGCAATCTACTCTAAATTGCCTTTGTTTCATTTGAGTATAATAAAGCTATACTTCAGAGAGATCTCAAAATTGACGCAAATTCCTGTTGGTAGCCATTTTGATTTTTCTGAGGCACAATTCAGAAAAACAATACTAGTATCATAATAATGATCTACCCTAAACTTCTTTTAATTTGAGTATATTATATAGCAATACTTTGAAGAGATCAGAAATTTTTTGCAAAATCTCACATAAGGTGGTCATTTTACAACTATTAACCAATAAGTATCTTTCCACCAAATATTAACAAAATCCGTCTACTAGTATTTGAGTTATCTTTGGGACAGACAGATGGACTGAGTGACTGACTGATGAACAGCTTCACTATATCACTACCAAACTTCGTTCCTTGAGAGAATAAAGGTTTAAATATTAACAGATTTTAACAAGCTATCAAATGAAGACTTCTGTTGCCAAACTATTTGAGGGGGGTGTACCTATAATTACATGCTATTTCTGTCTTGCATATAGGACTGGATCTAACAAGTAGATATCTTCAGTACTTCATATTTGGCTGAGCATTTTTTAATATTTTACCTTGAACTTATCTGCTTTATTAAGGTAGTCCACAAACTCCATCACTTCTATTTTGGCTTCTTTGAGACCTGCTACATCCTTGAACATAATACCTTTACCCTTCTGAGTTTGTAGGTCAACCCTTGTATATTTGGCTTTGCGTTCACCTGCCTGGAATTAATAGAAGATTATCAGTAGTCAATCATGGCCAAACACTCTCAACCAATCGAATTGCTTATTTACTATTCATTATTAGACAACAATGAACTTTTTGGTAAATAAATGCATTGTTCAAATTTGTACCACAGTTCTATGTCTGGAACCAGGAATCAACAAGTTAATTCCAAGTCAGCTCAGAGCAATGTCACATTCATTTCGATCATTTTATATGCTTTGTGAACAGATAGCCAAAAAGTTAATTACACAGCAACACATTTAAAAATGAGATTGTTTGTCTCATTATGAATGCTGAATTCATCAACACTGATGAATCTCACGTGTTAATGATAGGACAACAATCTCAATTTTAATTCATCATTCTTTAAATATTCAATGTTATAGACATATGTAGATATAACACATGGTAAAATGCACTTACAAAAATATCCATAGGGTTTGGCATATGTACAATGTACTTACAAACATATCCATAGGGTTTGGCATATGTATAATGCACTTACAAACATATCCATCGGGTTTGGCATATGTATAATGCACTTACAAACATATCCATAGGGTTTGGCATATGTATAATGTACTTACAAACATATCCATAGGGTTTGGCATATGTATAATGTACTTACAAACATATCCATAGGGTTTGGCATATGTATAATGTACTTACAAACATATCCATAGGGTTTGGCATATGTATAATGTACTTACAAACATATCCATAGGGTTTGGCATATGTAAAATGTACTTACAAACATATCCATTGGGTTTGGCATATGTATAACTTAATTACAAACATATCCATTGGGTTTGGCATATGTATAATGTACTTACAAACATATCCATAGGGTTTGGCATATGTATAATGTACTTACAAACATATCCATTGGGTTTGGCATCTGGACTTTGACATTACGAAACATCATGTACAATCCTAAAGCTATTATCATTAGTACTGCTACTGACGCCCAAGAACTGAAATAAGAAAACATCAATTAAAACATCCCTCATATTTTTGTTTTTTGTTTCAGAAATCATTATCGAAAAATGAGGACTTTAGTTTACTGATCAAGTGAGAAAATCACATGTAACTTTATATTCAATAAGACTGAATATTCTCTTATGATTGTAATCATTTTATAAGACTATATGTCAATAAAACTTATATTACATTTACATTGACTATCTGCATTTTGTGACTTGACTTTAATTCCTTATGATTAAGAAATCAGTAATAAATAAAGTGTTCTTTAGTAATACATGGTGTCTCATATTGACATTATGCACATACCTGCCCCTCTGGTAGGATATTGGAATACCCTGCTCACGACGTATCCCAAGACCCTCCTCAGCTTGACGTAACTTCTCCTCAAACCTGTCACTGTCAACTATTTTCATGTGGAATATTGTATTATCCAGCTGTAATAATGATAACCAGAGATCCAATTTAAATATGTAAGAATTCTTTATTTAGAAATTCAATGTTGTTTCAATGGATCCATTGTATCCATTACATTAGTGATGCTGGAGCTGTAACTTCAAAGGTGATGATGTCCTTAGAAAAGAAAATACCCCAGAATTTGCAGATGAACCCATCTCAATGTAAAAAAAAAGAACCTCTAAATAGAGATCAGTTCATCTATGAACGATGGAGTGTTCCCCCTCTTATGTCCTTATATCAATCCAAACAGACTTACCCTACGTCCCTTAATGACTGCACCAGGGTACAGTTTGATGACAGCCATCTCCATCTCAGGTCCAATAATAATCTCCTCAACCTGGAACAATGAGGAAGACAATGTTGAGATTAATACTGAACAAGCATATAGTACAAGCATGGGCTTTCTGGAAAAGGGTACATTACTTTGTATTTTTAACATTGTGAAAATCTCACAATGAACATTAATCTGCCTCCCTTATTTAATGATATTTCCAGTTAACTTTGAAGGTAACTTGAAGAGTCTGCAAATATTTTTTTCATTTATATCACATAACTGATGATGTTAGATCTTGTTGACAAGAGATTTATTTTAAGAGACCCAAATACAAGTGAAGAACAATGTACTCTAAAAGATTATTGGGATGCTTCTCTTAGTGTACACAGTCGTCATAGTATCTTTCTATGATAAAAATGGTGAACATGTACATGTATAATTAATCAAAGGAATAACTTAATGTCCAAATGTCAACAGCTGTGGAAGAACAACATTTTTATTTTTAATTTACTTGATATACAAATCAACAATTTAAAATATTGTTATGTAAAGAAAGTAATGGGGTAAACCCATAATGAGATCAACTTCATTTTACCACAACTGTCAACATTCAGACACCATCCTTAATGTACCTCTCCCTTTGCCAGCATATCATGAACAAACTCAGTCCAAGAGACATAATGAAATCCTGAAGATTTGTCGTCATCTCCAACGAGCCTAGATAACATATACATCAGAGCAGCAGTCCATAACCACACAAATACCAGGCCTTTTAACGGAGGTTTACCTAAAAAAAAACTTTGTATCTTAGGAAATCATAACAAAAACATGTAGAATTCCAAAATACTTTTTAGGATTAAAGACAATGAGTGTGTGGCATGAGACATTGACTATTCAATTTTTCAAAAGTTGCTTGGCTGAATGTATTCATCCAAAAAGACATAGATCATAAAGGTCCTAAAGGGCAAACAGCACTTTGTAATCAGGCTTTTTATCATTTTTTTTTTTATTTACCCCAAACTTGCAAAGATTCCTAGATGAGAACTAAAATTCACCTTATCAATAATAAATGTTCAAATCAAATAAAAGAATTTTTAATATAATGTTTGAACTACCATTTTCATTTCCATCATTTTCTTTTTTCTCATCTTCATTGTCATGACGACCATCTGGCCTGTGTTGTTGGAGACGAGGATCAGATTTTGAAAACAAGTTAAGAGAATCTGTAAAATATAATCATGATAACAAGACATATATTTAGGGTACTGTTCTTCAATGTGTCTGAACTACATAAAGCAAATTTGTAAAATGTTTTTAGTCGTTACAAGATTTAGTATTAGGTTAGCTATCCTCACTGTATTCAACTTTGAACTGTAAGTTAGGTTAACATCTACTCTATTTTTAGTTATTTCCTTTCGCTTGAATCAAACTCATTGAGAATTCAATTGGGACAGTTAAGAAAAACTATGCAGCGGAGAAAAACCAAATTATTATAGTTAATTTATACTGTAGTCTAAGATAAGATAGTCTCACCTATTCCTAGAAGACGAGCAATATCAGCTGGCTTTGTCAAGTTGGAGCGCTCCAAGACTGTACACATGGCTTTAACCTCCTGTCGTGCATTTTGATATGACTGTCAATCAAAACACAAGAACATTACTGATGAGGTAAATCAAGCATTCAAACAAAAAACTCATTTACAAAGTACATGTACATATGCATCTCATCTCTGCAGTTAAAATACTACATACTTACCACATTTTTCATTGAGAATTTTCCCATAAACTTATTATTATAACAACCTGTATATGAATGAACAGTTTATGCCAGATCATGGACCTTTTATTCTTATTTTTTATTTATTTATTACCAAACACTTTCTATTTTTATTTTTTATTTATTTATTTGCCAAACACCTTTTAAACAGTGGCACAATGGAACAATTCCAGAGAGGCAGTACATATAACAAATCACATTATAGACATAAAATACAATGCAGATAAGTAAAATAATAAAATGAAATAATGTTATATAGAGATCAAGCAGGAATGTGAAATAATAAACATGAATTTTCTAGTTTCTCGTTTCTATTAGACTTGCAAGAAGATCCATGATAATTGCACCATTGTTAAGCTTCAAAACGTTGACATGTGGGATAATGACGACATGAGAAATGGGGTAACTTTGACATTTTACTTGTTACAAATTTGAATTTCTGTACTCCGCATGTTTGATTTCGACAAAAATAAAAACCTTGTGCAATCTCTATCCATGCAAAAAGAAATACATGGCCTATCCGCCTAGATTGGAAATTAGAGTTTAGTTCAGTTTAAATATATCAAAAACAATAAATACATAAAAATACATAAAAAATATTACAAGTTTTGCACTAAAATTGAATAAAAACACACAGCCCAGCCAGCACCGGCTTATGAGAGACTTTTTACATTTTATTACACTGAATAGTTTTAAATTATAAGTCTATTTGACATCATAATACCAATTGTCTTTGCTAGTATGCGTTGCGATGAAGGGGTGCACATTATATTACAGTATTTCCCTAATGATGGAAGGTTTTCAAAGTCAGGAATTATATCTCTAGCTCTTTGAAAAAGGTTTAAACGTAATGTTTCATGTAAGGGACAGTCAATAAGAAAGTGTTGCTCGTCTTCAATAGACTCATTTGAACAAGAACAAGTCCTGTCCGCAAGGGGAGTGGCACTGTATCTCCCTGTTTCTATTTTTAATGGAAGTGTCCCTGATCGTATCTGGGCTATGTTACTTCTTTGTTGTTTGCTTAGTGTAACATAACTCTCTGGCTCTAAAGCATGGCGCTTAATTATGTATCCTGTATGTCTGCAATTTGTTGCCATTCACTGGGTTGCGCCGATCGTTCCAGAGTTCCTTGAACCAGAGATCATTGTCGATTTCCACAAGCCGTTGTTTGACAAGCTCGAGTTTACGTTTGACCCCACATTAGACCAAACAAGAGATCATTTTAAAAAATGAAGGCTCGTGTGAAGGAAATGTTTGCAGTGTTGTAATGAATTGTATTGATAAATAGGGATGCTTACTTTTAACGAGGTTGTAATTTACCGAACGGCAAAGTAGAAAAAATCCGAACATCTTGAACTGATTAAGATCTTTAAATTGTGAAGGTCTGAGTACCTGGACCTCTTAGAAAACATCCAAACATGAAGAAGGGCCAATTTGATTCTCGTTTTCCGAAGATATTTATAAAATAGTTAAATGTCCGGAGTTTTTTTAATGCTGTAAATTATTCGCAATTCTAAATCAAGAAGTCGCTCGTATTTCTGTTGTATTTAGGAAATCATGTTGCCGAAAATCAGTGCACAGTGTTCATGGTGTTGCTGTAAAATTGCGTATATGTCATTTGAAACCCTCTCTAACGCAATTTTATTATAAACTAACACCTTAGGGTTAAACTTTTGCTCGAGGAATTAACTCATTTTCATCAATAAATATTAACCAATCAGGTTTTCTACTAATAAAGTAACGTTGAAATCTCAGTCCATTGTCGTTATCACTTACTACTAAACCCAAGTGAGATATGGCTCTTGCCTCAGCACGAGCCAATAAACAACATTGTAGATTGACTTCAAAGCAACACTAGATCTAAGTTATGCAACACAACAATGTAACGAAGTTACCACAAAGTGAAACGAATTGGCGTCAATGTTATACCCCTTCGGCCTACTTACTTGTCTATCTGTGGAGATGGATCTACTTGTTGTGCATCCCAAACAAGGAACGAGTCCATTCAAAAGATCTTTGGTTGCACAACTTTTTGAAAAAATATTTTTGTTACCTAACTTCACTTTTTGGAAACGGTTCAAACAAACACGAAATATGGCACTTCGGGATAATGCAATGTACTTATTCATACTTATTTACAAGTATTTGTCATCACAAAAAGTTACTTATTTAGTTAATTCCTAAATATTTCCAAGAACTTTCGAAATTATTTTTCGCCGGAAGTACAACGAATTCTTATTGCCCAATCAGAACTCGTCTATTGAAATCTGGTTCAATAGTATCGACCAATCAAATTACACGTTACAAAAAATATCCCGAAATCAAAAGGCGCTTGGGTAAGTTTTTATATTTTTTTTTTTAAATATCTCAGTGAATAAGGGATGCATATGACTTTTGCGAATGGGATGCTGATAATCATGTTCGTAAGAAATATTATGGCTAATTTTATCTCCATTGATGTCTTAATTGTGAGGATATCGTAGGATGAAGTCCAAATTCATAAAAATTGGATCATTCAATTTCAATTTCATTCAACTTTTAGGCTAGATGCCTTAGTTGTTCCAATACATTGCGTTTAGGCTATCCGTGCCATGCTAAGCACATTGTCCATTATCTCAATTCTACAGTTCATGTACATCATCACAGATCAGGCCTGTCTGGAGGCTTGTGCCGTCAACATACCGCCCACTCAAAGCGTCGCATTGCAAGCTAGGGGGTCTGGAGGCATGTCCCCAGAAAAATGTTGAAATTTAGACCCTCTCTGGTGCATTCTGAGTATATATGAGATAAAAACCACAATCTCTAAAAAAACATTTCATGGTATAGAGTTGCAGGTTGTCCCATCTTCGGACAGGCATTCACATGGTTATTTATCATACTTAATCACCACCCCATATTGACACTTATGTTGTCATTACTTGTTCAGTATCAAGTGTGTGTTGTGTGTTTGAAGCTGAAGAGTTTGAATTCAATATATTACGGTAAATCATGTTCTTTCAAGAGAAACCCCATCATTAAATAGTTCTATAATCTCCGTATAACCTTTCGTCTCAATCTTGATAACTGTCATATTATTATCTGGTCACCTTCATCTAAATTTTTTAAGATCATCATATGAGTTTCTGGTACCTGTCATATTAACTATCAAATCAAATACCAATGGACGTCACTTAGCAATCTAATCAAATTGGTAGACATTTCAATTGACCATTCACAATAGACCTAATCAGTATCATATTTATCACAATTCCCAGGAATTTTGAACTGATCAAGATGATGGTCCAAGAGCATTACAAACACAATTTGCAAATTGATGGGTTTTATACATGGCACCTCCTCATACTGCCATTGTCTTTTAGATCTTATAGTTTTGCAATTACTGTATATATAGTCTTTCCGCGGTTGTTAAAGACGAAGTGCTTTGAGCTTGGGCTAGAGTTAGACCATTCAGAAAATGCCTCACCTGACTGTCTAGCAGTTCTTTTAATATGTGACACGTCAGAACTCATGATATTTGAATTTGCTTTGTGATATTATTGCTTAGGCAAAGAGCAGTGAATCAGCAAACTCAGATATGTGGACCCTAAGTACTATAGACATAGTTAACAAGAAAAAATATTCCCCCTTGAGATCTGATGTTCTACTCCTAAAATGTTTTTGCAGATTGGGAAATTGCTTATTACTCATGATCTGATCATGTGGTTAAATATAGTTTCTGTTTCGTAGCTCAAAACCTTTTAATTATACAGTAAAACCTGTCTGATAGATCATCTTTCTGGAAGTTTTCAAAAGTATCAAGTCCTATTGACTTACATGTTAAACATCTCTCTAAGGAAAGCCTAGCTACTAGCCCTTGTGACCCCCCACCCAACCCACTACTCATCCTAACAAGGATGTGTGAAAGGTGTATAGTCAAGTAGAAGGGGGAGGAGGTCACTTGAGCATGTAGCTAGACTGTCTTGTAGCGTGTCTATTGAGGAACAATTTTACCCAGTATAAAGGGTGTTCCCGACTTGATTTATCTTGAACATAGTAATTACCCTTGGGAGCTGACATTGGGGCTGTTCCAAACACATATTATTAAACAGCCTGCAATATAATCCATATTAATAACTGCAATTTCATAGAGATATCTAAAAGTGCTGATGATATCAGTTCAGGGGGCCATTACATAGATCATTAATAGCTGACATCAGTCAGGGGGCTGTTACACAAATCATTAATATCTGATTACAGTTCAGGGGGCCATTACACAAATCAACCAAAGATGTTCAGTGTTCAGGAAGGACATTACATGATAGTCAACATCAGTTCAGGGGCCATTATACTTATCACTCAGGGCTGATATCAGTTCAGGAGACTATTACATAAATCATTGATATCTGATATCAGTTAAGGGCCTGTTTTTTTACATTTATAATCATAAATCATATGTCATAACAAGGTACATGTAAAGTTGTGTCAAAATCAGGCGTATTTCAGGTATTTTTAAATACATGAACTTCAAAACATTGATAAACCATGTCATAGGCAAGGTTGGCTCAATTTATCTTAGTTAAGAGATATCTTATGAGAGAAATAAGCAACATCAGCAATCTTAACAAAAATCTTTAAAAGGATGTGGGTGTCTATTGAAACAGATGCTATTTAGTACTAAAGATGTAAAAAGCTATTGAATGATTTTCTCTGCTTGCAACCAGAATCAATATTTCATTTTAGCTTCTAAAGAAATATTGAGTTGGGATAATTTTATGAGAGGATCAATTGGAAATCGATTTCTAGAGTCTTAAAACTAGTCATATTCCCCACACTGTAATGAGATGAGAATTTGAATTACCCTTTGCCTTGTTAAGATCTGTTTTCACCCATATGATAATTTCGAAAATCTTATTATGAGCATTTTTCTTTATCTTTAGATAGTTGTAAATTAGAACAATAGATAAATTATTTTCAAATTGTAGGTACAAGTGGGTCTTCGGGAAGGTGGAAGCCTATATGTATTTTCAAAATGTCAAGTGTAGGTGCAGTGCTTACTTGCTTCAGTTTTTGGATTACTGGCATATATAGACCGGTGATTTTGCTCCCTGTACTGGATATGATGTCATTTAATTTAAAAAACAATAGCTCTGGAGCCATCAATCAATGGGAGACTTGACCCCATGCTAGGAAATTGAGTCAAGACATGCACAGTGCATTAGAATATTGTATGGTAATCTATTATGCAAAAAAACATTCAAACCCCTGCATGAAATTCACTTAAACAGTAGTAGCTTGTGGTTTTAAGATGACATGTACAAAATACAAAAAGTTGGCTAATAACCAGAGACATCAGTAACTGAAAGTTCAATGTCCAATTTACCTTCCTACTGTTACCTATATATTTAACCTTTCCATTGGCTTCACTGTACTATCATGCTTATCAGTACTTGCCACTGCCACTTCATATGTTGCCAACAACGACTAACTGGATCACAAGGGTTAACCCTAAGAGGCTTAAGTTCTGTATGAGGCACAACTGAAATACTGAATCCATATATAAATCTAGGAAAGCACTTTGCACTCTTTTCACTTGGCTATCCTATTTCGCAATTCTTCTGATTTCAAAATAAGAATGGTTGATTGAATTAAGAATGGTTGATTGAAATAAGAATGGTGGATTGATGTTTAGGTTCAAGATAGGCATGTCTTGTAGTTGCTTTAAGGATATTTATTTAGTGTTTGATGATGATTACTTTATTAGAAACCATTTCATTACATAAATGATATAACCTGAAAATGTGTCGGGTCAGAATGTTTGGATAAAATCTGAAAAACATCATATTTGATAAAACCTGAAAAACATAATATTTAATCAAACCTGAAAATCATGAATTTTATAAAAACCCGAAAAACATCATAATCAAACCTGAAGAATATTTTCCAAGGGTTTCAATTAATCTTTATTGATTTCTATCATTTTATAATGTTACATGAACTGAATCAATAGTTAATCTGGATGATTCCTCTAAATCTCTAAATATTGGCTGAATAATTCTTACATTTAGATGCCAGTCACTCTTAATTTTCATAGAAAAGGTCATTATGAAATATAAGTTATATCTTGTGTCTATATGCCATCTCTATAGTATGATTTATTGTGACTTAACCCCTCCCCTGCTTTGTGTTTTGATTAAAGTATTTCTGATGTAAATTTTTTGGGCTGATTCATTCGCTATATAATTTTATGTACAGGCAGCTAACAAACTGTTGACATAATTTCTAAAAATATCAATATAGAGATTTATCTGAAATCAATTAATAGCGATGAAAATAATATTTGTTTTGCTAAACGAAGCTCCACATGCTTGCCATTTCACGTGATGAGGCATATGCTCTATTTCTAGTTTTTTATATATATATATATATATATATATATATTTGGAACACTGACGTCAATGTTAGCTTAAATATAAATATTTAAAGGGAACTAAAACTATGTAGTACCTCAGGTCTTTCTCAAAATAACTAATGTCACCTTTCTTATAAATAGTTAAACCAAATAAAAACAAGGCCTTAAAGGTATTGAAAATTAACATATGTGTACTCTAGGTAAAATGTTAGTGGTATAAAATAAAACTCTGAGCCTCCTCTCTCTCATGTACTTCCTCTTAAAGGTAGAGACAAGTCATAAACTTTTGAGAAGCAAAGTCAAACAAATGCAAATGGTGTTTGATACAAGAAAAAAGATACAAAACAAGTAAGGAGTGAGATACATCTCATACATCTATATGTTTGTTTTCATGTATTCACCACACCTTGAATACCTTTATTATCCCATCGAACGAAGTTCGGAGGGATATAGGGAACGCCTCCGTCCGTCCGTCCGTCCGTACGTCCGTCCGTCCGTACGTACGTACGTCCGTCCGTACGTACGTCTGTCCGTCCGTACGTCCGTCCGTCCGGGCAATAACTCAAATACCGTTGGCCCGATTTTATTCATATTTTGTATACATATACCCTATGGGGGTAGAAGTTCTGCTCGAAAGTCGATTTTCAAAATGGCCGCTCATTTAAAAATGGCGGCCATATTAGTGCAGATTTTACAGTAGTTTAGGTGCAATATGTAAAACTGTAATAGCAATATGTTTTAAATGTAAAAAAAATTATATAGGACATTAATAAAGCTAGAAATGTAGATATTATAAAAGCACATGGCAGCCATCTTGAAAAATGGCGCCCTTTTCTCGTTAT